AAATAAGTATTTGACCCCCTCTCAATCAGAAAGATTTCTGGCTCCCAGGTGTCTTTAATACAGGTAACGAGCTGAGATTAGGAGCACACTCTTAAAGGGAGTGCTCCTAATCTCAGTTTGTTACCTGTATAAAAGACACCTGTCCACAGAAGCAATCAATCAATCAGATTCCAAACTCTCCACCATGGCCAAGACCAAAGAGCTCTCCAAGGATGTCAGGGACAAGATTGTAGACCTACACAAGGCTGGAATGGGCTACAAGACCATCACCAAGCAGCTTGGTGAGAAGGTGACAACAGTTGGTGCGATTATTCGCAAATGGAAGAAACACAAAATAACTGTCAATCTCCCTCGGTCTGGGGCTCCATGCGAGATCTCACCTCGTGGAGTTGCAATGATAATGAGAACGGTGAGGAATCAGCCTGGAACTACACGGGAGGATCTTGTCAATGATCTCAAGGCAGCTGGGACCATAGTCTCCAAGAAAACAATTGGTAACACACTACGCCGTGAAGGACTGAAATCCTGCAGCGTCCGCAAGGTCCCCCTGCTCAAGAAATCACATATACAGGGCCGTCTGAAGTTTGCCAATGAACATCTGAATGATTCAGAGGAGAACTGGGTGAAAGTGTTGTGGTCAGATGAGACCAAAATGGAGCTCTTTGGCATCAACTCAACTCGCCTTGTTTGGAGGAGGAGGAATGCTGCCTATGACCCCAAGAACACCATCCCCACCGTCAAACATGGAGGTGGAAACATTATGCTTTGGGGGTGGACAACTTCACCGCATCAAAGGGACGATGAACGGGGCCATGTACCGTAAAATCTTGGGTGAGAACCTCCTTCCCTCAGCCAGGGCATTGAAAATGGGTCGTGGGTGGGTATTCCAGCATGACAATGACCCAAAACACATGGCCAAGGCAACAAAGGAGTGGCTCAAGAAGAAGCACATTAAGGTCCTGGAGTGGCCTAGCCAGTCTCCAGACCTTAATCCCATAGAAAATCTGTGGAGGGAGCTGAAGGTTCGAGTTGCCAAATGTCAGCCTCGAAACCTTAATGACTTGGAAAAGATCTGCAAAGAGGAGTGGGACAAAATCCCTCCTGAGATGTGTGCAAACCTGGTGGCCAACTACAAGAAACGTCTGACCTCTGTGATTGCTAACAAGGGTTTTGCCACCAAGTACTAAGTAATGTTTTGCAGAGGGGTCAAATACTTATTTCCCTCATTAAAATGCAAATCAATTTATAACATTTTTGACATGCGTCTTTCTGGATTTTTGTTGTTGTTATTCTGTCTCTCACTGTTAAAATAAAACTACCATTAAAATGATAGACTGATCATGTCTTTGTCAGTGGGCAAACGTACAAAATCAGCAGGGGATCAAATACTTTTTTCCCTCACTGTATACTATATCTACAATATTTGTATGTTAAGAATTGCGTTCATCAAAATGTGGCAATGGCTGACAAAACAGAGACATAATAAATCCCCTAGCAGAACACAGGGCCATATTTATAAGGGAAATTCATTAGCCTCTATGAGAAACTTGAGGACCCCACTGGGACTGATTTTCTTATCTGTAATAAATTCTCTCTCTGTTGCCATCCTATATTACAGCCTGTTGTAAGGAAAATGTTGTGTTTCTATAACATGGTAAATATGTTTTATGCCAGACACAATTCAGCTCTCTATGTCTTCCACAGCCGTGCTGTTTCTTGCTAATGTGGACAAAATAGAGGGAATAGAGTGCATGATTGCCTCCTGAAGTCTTCCATAATGCATAGTTAATGAAACTCCTGCAAGAAGAAGAAACAAATAGTGTGCAGGCCATGGCCTCCAATTAATAATCTCCTGTGCTCAGGCATCATGGCCACTGTGCCTTCACTGATACAAGAGAAATACAAGCACACAAAACACTGGAGAATAGGCCTAGTCTTGTTAAGTTCCCTACATAAAGAATTTATGAAACAGAAACTTTTAATTAAACTAAATGATATAACATCAGGACTTGTCGTACTAATTTGTGTTTGCTATGACTAAATGTGACTGAACAGCTGAGATCCTAAAATGTAGTCTCACAACCTACTGTAGATCTCAAGGACAGTCATTATCTCCTCAACGCAATCAGAGGGATATTATTTTTCCACTAAGACATTTAAATCTGAATGCGGGGCATGAAATGTTAATAGTAATGGCCCCAGGCCCCCAGTATTCTCTGAGAAAAACAAACTGTTCATAGTCAGGATATTTCTTTCATCAATTCAATCTGTGAACTTCTGCCAGGCCGTAAAACCTTCAGATTCTCAAGGAGACTCCACAAAGGCCCTGATCCATAAGGGGGAATCCCGCTGGGGACGATTGCCTAGCAACACATATTAGCAACAGTTCTAAGGTGGGCTAGAGCAGCATGATCACCTCAGCACATTACCATTCTACAAGATGGGGTAAAGAGTTCATGGCTATATCTGTGTCATTTCAAAAAGCCAGCATAGGCCTAGATATCAAATAAGATCAGGACACACATTTATTCCAATATCAATTTGGGAACATTGATGGACGTAATTATCCTGACTGAAGCGCATAGTAGCCCTTCACTAATATGAATGACATAGATTGATTGTTGAGAATAATGGGGAAGTCAGCGAGGCCTTTCATCTGATGGATTTGCATATAGCCTATGAGTAAAGTGATATAAATCATAAAACTAATCCCCACTATAAACCATAGGTCTACAATAACACTGTAATAATCACTTATTAACCCTTAATAATTTGATGTGACCTAAATAAAGCCAATTCGCACAAGGGCAGATGATTCACTGGGTGTTGATAGGGACTACAGAGGAATTGTGCAGTATGTGAATGTATGCACTCACTAACTGTAAGTCGCTCTGGATAAGAGCGTCTGCTAAATGACTAAAATGTCAATGTAAATGTATGTGGGGTGTGTTTGTTGTGACACATGACACAGTATAATAATTGAATGACAAATCAGTGATGTTTGGTCACACACTGCCACCTGGTGTATTTATGAGAGAATGAAGACATGTGACCAGATTCTGGCAACAATAAATGTGGACCATCAAAGCAAAATGTATCTTATTTTACAACCTGGTCTCATAGACTAGACGTAACATAGTAAATGTAAAACCGAGACACTCAAATTAGTATGATATGTTACATTTGATATGGTTACATAAGACAGAAGGTTACTTAAAGAGGGTGGTTGCTCAGTGTGTATGGGTAGGCGTACAATGCGAATGTCTAGCAACCCAAAGGTTGAGTGTTCGAATCTAATCACTGTCAACTTTAGCATTTTAGCAACCTTGTAACTACTTACTACTATTCAGCTACTTTGCAACTACTTGGCATGTTAGCTAACCCTTCCCCTAACCCTAACTTTAACCCATTAGCCTAACTCCTAACCCTAACCCTAACCTTAACCCCTAACCCCCAGCCTAGCTAATGTTAGCCACCTAGTTAGCTTAAGCCACATAGCTAACATTAGCCACAACAAATTGGAATACGTAACATATTGTATGTCAGTGGCGGATGGTGGGAGGAGCAATAGGAGGACGGGCTCATTGTAATGGCTGGAATGGAATTAATAGAACAGAGTCAAACGTGGTTTACTCAGGGCACACTATTTTCACTACATTTCGCCCGGTAGGTGGTGCTATACAACCCCGTGGGCGTAGATTTCAGCGCGCATTTAGGTGCACATAGTGTCGAGAACAAGACGGGTGTCATGTAGAAAAGCTCACAGCGTGAAATAGCTCACAATAGATGAATATTTGTTTACATGACACGGGCACTCGATCATAGCCATATCGTGGAATCTATTCAACACACCACAAAAACCATAGAGTACAGGTTGGCAACTTGGTTAAGCCTAACTACAGTAATGGATGTTACTGTTTCATCAGGGAGACATAAAGATGAAGTAAACAAATGTAATCATGTTTGCTATTTCATGCAGCCACAGAATAGAAAGATGCCAAACAAATTATTTTGTATTCGAATTTCGCATTGTTTAAAGTTGAGAAATGGCCTATCATCATGAGACTTGGTGTGTATGTATGCCTCCAGGATAATACGGTAATGTTGGCCTCATGCATAGGCCCTCGAACAAATAAATAAAACCAAGATCATCCAAAATCCATCAGATTAACAGTTTTTAATTTGAATGAAGTCAGCAACGCAAATAATTAATCTCAGTGATTGACAGAATACTGGTATTTTTACATGTTGACTAACTAATCGCAGTGAAATTAGATTAAATCTATTTATGATCAGTTACATATAATATTTCATTCAAGTACATTTTGTAGATTGGCTTGATAGCGGCATTGACGTTGTTGGCTGGCTAGCGAGCAAAACTTGACGTTACACATTCACATTTGGGAGAAACTGGTCCAGCCACTTGGTAGATAGCTATCGTTAGTTCAAATAAAGCAACATGATGTACTCATTCATAAATTAAACTATGTTGGGTTTATAGTTTACAATAGCATTTTCATATGACGACAAGTGGGAGGGTTCTCGGTTGAACGCGTGGACGCGCATCGGACAGTCCTAGCACTTTGAAACCCACACCCACCGTGACGTGTAGCACCGCCCACCGGGCGAAACGGAGTGAAAAGAGCGTGTACCGTCTCTCTCACCTTAACCTGACACGTTCACAGAAAATGTAATTTGCATTGAGTAGTTCTCTGGGTCAAAGCTGCGTATGGGATATATCAGAGAGAATTAAGGAGAATAAATCTTGTTTTGCACATTAATGAAATTGCATTGGTGTACACCATCATTGAAAAATAGATGTAAAGGCATTTCCGGTCTCGGGACGATCCCTCTTCCGCCCTGATGCCCTTGTAGCTATGGAAACTCGTCAATGGCAACGTCCACCAGCCTGTTCACCCCTTCCGACCAGGGGTATTAAGTGTGATATAGCTAGCTAGCTTTAAGTGTGCCAGAATTACCGATAAATCAGAGGTTTCAAGATGGCGTTACAACGACTGACGGCTTTTTTCATCCTTTACCTGATTTTCGGTAAGTTATTTTAATTTCCACTAAGATAAGGTGTAGTTTAACGGTACGTGTTGTGCATCACAATTTATTAAATCACAGACACAGCGATGCTTTGTTATGCAAATGATCGCGCCGACTAGACGGGCTTCCTAGCATAGTAGCTTGGCCGGGTGTAAACATGCTGAGGATGAGCCACACAATTATTAGATGGTAAATAATTTTCTTTATACATGCGTTATCATCACATTGAAACGCTCACACAATCCTCAGCAGTTTTCCATTTATATAAATAGAGAACAGGTTGCACACACTGCTATGTATCTTCTAATGTTGAGCTCTCTTCAACTGTCACTCAAAATGTGATGATGTCAACCACTATTTCCATCCAGGCTGTCAGGTAGGTCTACAGTTCATTGTGTTAATTATTTTATTCTGCTAAAGACTCTCTGCTACCGCACGGCAAGCGGTACCAATGCACCAAGTCTGGAACCAACAGGACCCTGAACAGCTTCTACCCCTAAGCCATAAGACTTCTAAACAAGACTGCTAAATAGCTAATCAGATGGCTACCCGACTACCAGCATTGACCCTTTTTTGCACTAACTCTCTTGCACTGACTCTATGCACACACACTGGACTCTACCCACACACTCACACATCCATGACCAGAAGTATATGGACACCTGCTCGTCGAACATCTCATTCCAAAATCATGGGCATTAATATGGAGTTGGTCTCCCCTTTTCTGCTATAACAGCCTCCAATCTTCTGGGAAGGCTTTCCACTAGAAGTTGGAACATTGCTGTGGGGACTTGCTTCCATTCAGCGACAAGAGCATTAGTGAGGTCGAGCACTGATGTTGTGCAATTAGGCCTGGCTTGCAGTTGGCGTTCCAATTCATCCCAAAGGTGTTCGATGGGGTTGAGGTCAGTTCTCTGTGCAGGCCAGTCAAGTTCTTTCACACCGATCTCGAAAAACCATTTCTGTATGGACCTTGCTTTGTGCATGGGGGCATTGTCATGCTGAAACAGGAAAGGGCCTTCCCCAAACTGTTGCCACAAAGTTGGAAGCACAGAATCGTCTAGATTGTCATTGTATGCTGTAGCGTTAAGATTTCCCTTCACTGGAACTAAGAGGCCTTGCCCGAACCATGAAAAACAGCCCCAGACCATTATTCCTCCTCCACCAAACTTTACAGTTGGCATTCGTGCAGGTAGCGTTCTCCTGGCATCCGCCAAACCCAGATTCGTATGTCGGACTGCCAGATGGTGAAGCGTGATTCATCACTGCTCCAGAGTCCAATGACGGTGAGCTTTACACCACTCCAGCCGATACTTGGCATTGCGCATGGTGATCTTAGGCTTGTGTGCGGCTGCTCGGCCATGGAAACCCATTTCATGAAGCTCCCGACGAACAGTTCTTGTGCTGATGTTGCTTCCAGAGGCAGTTTGGAACTTGGTAGTGAGTGTTGCAACTGAGGACAGACGTTTTTACACGCTACACGCTTCAGCACTCGGCGGTCCGGTTCTGTGAGCTTTGTGGCTGTGCCGTTGTTGGTCCTAGACATTTCCACTTCACAATAACATCACTTACAGTTGACCGGGGCAGCTCTAGCAGGGCAGCAATTAGACAAACTGACTTGTTGGAAAGGTGGCATCCTATGATAGTGCCACGGTGAAAGTCACTGAGCTCTTCAGTAAGGCCATTCTACTGCCAATGTCTGTCTATGGAGATTGCATGGCTGTGTGCTCGATTTTATACACCTGTCAGTAACAGGTTTGGCTGAAATAGCCAAATCCACTAATTTGAAGGGGTGTATACTTTTGTATATATAGTGTACTTACACTGACACCCCAACACACACATACAACAGACACACACACTACATACGCCCACACACACACAACATGCACAAACATGCATACTGATGCCACACACACACTCACTCACCACATACGCTGCTGCTAGTCCCTTTACCTCTACCTATATGTACAGTACATAGCTACATCAATTACCTCGTACCCCTGCACATCGACTTGGTACTGGTACTCCCTGTATATAGCCATGTTATTTTTACTCTTTATTTTTATTAGTTATTCACTGTGTCACTATTTCTATTTTTAACTCATTGTTGGAAAAGGACCTGTAAGTAAGCATTTCACTGTTAGTCTACACCTGTTGTCCACAAAGCATGTGACAAATACAATTTGATTTGATAAAGTAGCACTCTGACAGCGGCAGTGCTTTCAGGAAGACTTCACTAGGACTATCTAGGTTTTGAATAAATAGTTTTCTGTCAACATTGCTGCAACTACAGGTCAGACAGCTAACATTATAGCTAAGACAGTCGCTGTGTGTTATTGACTGATCTTTACAGTTTTATTCACATACTAGTCTACTGCATTTTGAGAGCGAGAGATACAGAGAGAGAGCGATGCATTCATTTCCCCCTGCTTAGAGAACATATGCCACATTTCTATCTATTCTACTGTCAGACAACATTCCAGTACTGATTAAATTCTTCACATAAACACACACACTACCAGTCAAAAGTTTGGACACACCTACTTATTCAAGGGTTTTTCTTTATTTTTACATTGTAGAATAATAGTGAAGACATCAAAACTATGAAATAACACATATGGAATCATGTAGTAACCAGAAGTGTTAAACAAATGAAAATATATTTGAGATTCTTCAAAGAGCCACCATTTGGCTTGATGACAGCTTTGCACACACTTGGCATTCTCTCAACCAGCTTCATGAGGTAGTCACCTGGAATGCATTTCAATTAAGAGGTCTGCCTTCTTAAAAGTTAATTTGTGGAATTTCTTTCCTTCTTAATGCGTTTGAGCCAATCAGTTGTGTTGTGACAAGCTAGGGGGGCTATACAGGAGATAGTCCTATTTGGTAAAAGACCAAGTCCATACAGCTCAAATAAGCAAAGAGAAACAACAGTCCATTACTTTAAGACATGAAGGTCAGTCAATCCGGAAAATTTCAAGAACTTTGAACGTTTCTTCAAGTGCAGTGCAAAAACCATCAAACGCTATGATGAAACTGGCTCTCATGAGGACCGCCACAGGAATGGAAGAACCAGAGTTACCTCTGCTGCAGAGGATAAAGTCATTAGAGTTACCAGCCTCAGAAATTGCAGCCCAAATAAATGCTTCACAGAGTTCAAGTAACAGACACATCTCAACAACAACTGTTCAGAGGGGACTGTGTGAATCAGGCCTTCATGGTAGAATTGCTGCAAAGAAACCACTACTAAAGGACACCAATAATAAAAAGACACCTGCTTGGGCCAAGAAACACGAGCAATGGACATTAGACCGGTGGAAATGTGTCCTTTGGTCTGGAGTCCAAATTGGAGATTTTTGGTTCCAACCAGCATGTCTTCGTGAGACGCGGTGTGGATGAACAGATGATCTCCGCATGTGTATTTCCCACCGTAAAGCATGGAGGAGGTGGTGTTATGGTGTGGGGGTGCTTTGCTGGTGACACTGTCTGTGATTTATTTAGAATTCAAGGCACACTTAACCAGCATGGCTACCACAGCATTCTGCAGCTATACGCCATCCCATCTGGTTTGGGCTTAGTGGGACTATCATTTGTTTTTCAACAGGACAATGACCCAACACACCTCCAGGCTGTGTAAGGGCTATTTTACCAACTAGGAGAGTGATGGAGTGCTGCATCAGATGACCTGGCCTCCACAATCCCCCGACCTCAACCCAATTGAGATGGTTTGGGATGACTCGGACCGCAGAGTGAAGGAAAAGCAGCAAACAAGTGCTCAGCATATGTGGGAACTCCTTCAAGACTGTTGGAAAAGCATTCCAGGTGAAGCTGGTTGAGAGAATGCCAAGAGTGTGCAAAGCTGTCATAAAGGCAAAGGGTGGCTATTTGAAGAATCTCAAATCTCATTTTTTATTTATTTGTTTGACACTTTTTTGGTTACTACATAATTCCATATTTGTTATTTCATAGTTTTGATGTCTTCACTATTATTCTACAATGTAGAAAAAAATAAAAATAAAGAAAAACCCTTGAATGAGTAGGTGTGTCCAAACTTTTGACTGGTACTGTAGGTCCCTTTCTTTATGTAGGCTACACAGTGTAAAGTAGGGCATTCGGCTATGGAATGCTTTTATTCCAGGCACACAATAGCAATTGTCTTCTTAATTAACCACAGATTCTCTCCCACGGTCTGAAAACTGTCTGGGACAACACATCCTCATGCAGGTGGGGATACAGCTTGGACACCTAAAATATACAATGAGACAAGAAGTGTCTTGCCTGTCTGCCTGTCTGTCTGTTGGCAGCAAAAAAGTAGGAGAGTTAGGATAGAGACATGTAGTTTAAGCTATTTATAGCCTAGTAGTTCATATTATCTACATTCTAAGTACGTTGTAAAGGAATTGAAGGTTAATGAGTGGTTTTACAGGGATAGGCTGTCCCTGCTCTGTTTACAAGAGGAAAGATTTGCTGGACAAGCTCTCCTTGTGTCTCTCAGGATGACCAGTCACTGTTTGTTGTAAAAATAGCTCATGGTGTACAGGGCTGGGAAAGTCAGCCGCAGAGACGGAAGCTGAGACCTGAGAGTCGCATCTCATCAGCGTCCACAGCTGTGCTAATATGACTGTGTGCTCCACTTTGGCAGGACCCATGTGTTCTCCACTCTCAGGGCTGGCTGAAGCCTTTGAGGCAGTGTTCAAACCCATCCTAAAAGCTTACACGTGTTCTCACAGTCTCTGATAGGGACGTACAATAAAACTAGCCTGTCCTCCACCAAACCGCCAAGTTATTGGAGTAAAGGCCCGTCTTGCATATGAGGGAATTGTCTTTTACAGTGGGGAAAAAAAGTATTTAGTCAGCCACCAATTGTGCAAGTTCTCCCACTTAAAAAGATGAGAGAGGCCTGTAATTTTCATCATAGGTACACGTCAACTATGACAGAAAATCACATTCTTGGATTTTTTATGAATTTATTTGCAAATTATGGTGGAAAATAAGTATTTGGTCACCTACAAACAAACAAGATTTCTGGCTCTCACAGACCTGTAACTTCTTCTTTAAGAGGCTCCTCTGTCCTCCACTCGTTACCTGTATTAATGGCACCTGTTTGAACTTGTTATCAGTATCAAAGACACCTGTCCACAACCTCAAACAGTCACACTCCAAACTCCACTATGGCCAAGACCAAAGAGCTGTCAAAGGACACCAGAAACAAAATTGTAGACCTGCACCAGGCTGGGAATACTGAATCTGCAATAGATAAGCAGCTTGGTTTGAAGAAATCAACTGTGGGAGCAATTATTAGGAAATGGAAGACATACAAGACCACTGATAATCTCCCTCGATCTGGGGCTCCACGCAAGATCTCACCCCGTGGGGTCAAAATGATCACAAGAACGGTGAGCAAAAATCCCAGAACCACACAGGGGGACCTAGCGAATGACCTGCAGAGAGCTGGGACCAAAGTAACAAAGCCTACCATCAGTAACACACTACGCCGCCAGGGACTCAAATCCTGCAGTGCCAGGCCAGACGTGTCCCCCTGCTTAAGCCAGTACATGTCCAGGCCCATCTGAAGTTTGCTAGAGTGCATTTGGATGATCCAGAAGAGGATTGGGAGAATGTCATATGGTCAGATGAAACCAAAATAGAACCTTTTGGTAAAAACTCAACTCGTCGTGTTTGGAGGACAAAGAATGCTGAGTTGCATCCAAAGAACACCATACCTACTGTGAAGCATGGGGGTGGAAACATCATGCTTTGGGGCTGTTTTTCTGCAAAGGGACCAGGACGACTGATCCGTGTAAAGGAAAGAATGAATGGGGCCATGTATCGTGAGATTTTGAGTGAAAACCTGCTTCCATCAGCAAGGGCATTGAAGATGAAACGTGGCTGGGTCTTTCAGCATGACAATGATCCCAAACACACCGCCCGGGCAACGAAGGAGTGGCTTCGTAAGAAGCATTTCAAGGTCCTGGAGTGGCCTGGCCAGTCTCCAGATCTCAACCCCATAGAAAATCTTTGGAGGGAGTTGAAAGTCCGTGTTGCCCAGCGACAGCCCCAAAACATCACTGCTCTAGAGGAGATCTGCATGGAGGAATGGGCCAAAATACATTTACATTTTAGTCATTTAGCAGACGCTCTTATCCAGAGCGACTTAGAGTTAGTGAATACATTTTTTTTTTTTTTTTTATACTGGCCCCCCGTGGGAATCGAACCCACAACCCTGGCGTTGCAAACGCCATGCTCTATCAACTGAGCTACATCCCTGCCGGCCATTCCCTCCCCTACCCTGGACGACGCTGGGCCAATTGTGCGCCGCCCATGAGTCTCCCGGTCGCGGCCGGCTGCGACAGAGCCTGGATTCAAACCAGGATCTAGTGGCACAGTTAGCACTGCGATGCAGTGCCTTAGACCACTGCGCCACTCAGGAAATACCAGCAACAGTGTGTGAAAACCTTGTGAAGACTTACAGAAAACGTTTGACCTGTGTCATTGCCAACAAAGGGTATATAACAAAGTATTGAGAAACTTTTGTTATTGACCAAATACTTATTTTCCACCATAATTTGCAAATAAATTCATTAAAAATCCTACAATGTGATTTTCTGGATTATTTTTTCTCATTTTGTCTGTCATAGTTGACGTGTACCTATGATGAAAATGACAGGCCTCTCTCATCTTTTTAAGTGGGAGAACTTGCACAATTGGTGGCTGACTAAATACTTTTTTTCCCCCACTGTATGTGCATCATGAATAGTTAACCAGAGACATTTTGCTAAATGGCATATTATTATTATTATTATTATTACATTTTAAATCAGCCGCAGAGTGCTTTTATCTGTCTGGATTATACCTTGGAAGTGCTTAATACACTCAGATGAATTGTGCTCCAATACATTACAGTCTGATTTCACCCCTCTTAGGAGTCCTTAATATCGCTGACGCCCGCACAGAAGGAGAGACTGTTTTTATTACTCACTATGTGTTATTTGAGTAACTCTTACGCCTCCCTATGTGTATCTACGAATAATTTGAGAGTGTTTTGTAGAGTTAGGCTAAGTGATGAAACAACACTGAGTGATACTGAGACGTGTGCTCCCCTCGAGATGTGCTCCACCTGCCTCTTATATAGACGTGAGAAATGCTCCCGGAGATATGGTTAATCCTGACCCTAAGGCTCTTTCTCACCCTCTCTGTAGCTATAGGCCTACACTTCCTGACCCTCTAATCCTTTAGGCCTATCTGTTTAAGGGGCATTGGCCAAATTGGCACTGTCCTGGGAAGAAAATTCTGAAGCTTGTCAGTCAGCATTTTTCCCCCCACTTATTTGTTGTCTTTTACAGGCTACATTCCATCACTTGGGGTAATCCTCCGAACCACAGAAAAGACTGTGTGGGCAAATGAATTTGAACGTAAGTCACTGAAACACTGACTCATTCTCTCAGAATTATTTTTCTTCTATTGCCTGTCTGTCTGCCAGTGTTTTAATATCGTAGTATCACGGTTTTCTTTCCAGCTATTGAGTTGACCTGCTTGATAGAGTCCATCTCAACAAACAACCCCAGAATCGAATGGAAGAAAATCCAAAACGGCGTCCCTAGTTATGTGTACTTTCAAAATCAAATTTCGGGTAAGATTATTATTTTTTAAGCACTTTACCAACACCATATTGGCCTCAGAACTGTGTTATTATTCTCTGTAAGTGAAATGAGAAGTTGGAGTGTGTTTTTGCCTCTCTATTAGGGGACTTGGAGCACAGAGCCCAGCTGATCCAGCCGGCCAACCTACTGATCCTGAACACCAGCCGTGCAGACACTGCAGAGTATCGCTGTGAGGTCGCTGCCATTGATGACCACAAACACTTTGATGAAATTCTAATCAGTCTTGCTGTCAGGGGTGAGGTCGTATTGTCATATTCCGTGTCACTTAACCAATGCAGAGCTCACACCTTGTCATTAGCCTGAGATATATGTGTGTCTGCTGGTCAATCTCAGTATAGGCCTAGTCAGTGTTAGGTGTGTTGTTGACAGACATTTTAAGCCTGTAGTAGAGTTTGCTGTGTTTATTCAGTGTTGTCTATTTCTAAGTAAAGACTGTGTTATGTGCTCTCTCTCTAAAACACTGTTCTGTGGGTGCCGTAGTATGGCCTCTGCCCTTTGCCTATGTGTATGTGTGTCTTCCGGAGCAGTTGGGATAAAGCGGAAGTCGAATTCCAGTTGGACCTTTGTGTACAATTAGACAAATATTTGTATTTGTCTTCTTCTGTCTGTGCAGTAAAGCCTGTGGTGCCCAGGTGCAGTGTGCCTGTGGCGGTGACTGTTGGCACGTCCTCTGAGCTGCACTGCCTGGAGAACGAGGGCTTCCCTGCCTCACAGTACCGCTGGTTCCACAACAACGAGGAGCTTCCCCAGGACCCAAAGAGCAGCCCCAAGTTTATCAACTCTACCTACTCCATTAACGCTGACACGGGTGGTCTGGTAAGGAATCAATAGGACTGGGAGGTCGAACGGAAACTAGATATATGAATCCAACTGTTGGATGATGTTAGTACAAGAGAAAAGTTGTATGATGTATTGGGGTTGATTTTGGCGTTTTTCCCTGCAGAAATTCCGCCGGATGAGGAAGGAGGATGCGGGGGAGTATTACTGCCAGGCAAAGAATGAAGCTGGACATGCACAGTGTCCCACGCAGCTGATGGAAGTCTGTGAGTAGGCCATGCTGCACTAAACACCCAACTGACATTCTTACTGCGGCTATGTATTGTGTTTAAATATCTCAGTGTGTCATACCGCTGCCACACTGAACATACCATTGTGCGTTACCAAACCTGCTAGTGAGTCACATGCATCTACTCTGGTGCACATAAGTCATAGCGGTTGACATGGACATGCATTCCAAGGTCATTAAGTCAGGGTTCCCAAACTGGCGGCCCGTGGGCCGAATTATTATGTTTTAGACAAATATTATATCTGATTGGGCTTCTTGCAGTCAATTTGCAGTCTACAAATTATTTGTAATTATGTTCCGGCCCCTCTCCATCCGCTCACGAAAAATAATTTTAAAAAAGACATACCGCGGCTGCTTTAAGTTGTTTAAATTTGGGTTTATGTCACCCAGATCTCATTTCAAAATGCCCTGTTTGTATTTTCAGATGATGTCGACATTGTGGGGATTTTTCTGAAGGTGTTGGCGGCATTGGCTGGATTCATTATTGTGATGGTGGGGGTTTGTCATGCACACAAACATGGCTGCTTCTCCTCCGGCAAGGATCACACAGGAACCAAGTGAGTAGGGCTATGTAGTTTCAAGTTTCAAAGTTTATTTGCCACATGCACAGGATACAACAGGTGTAAAACAGTACAGTGAAATTCTTACCTTGAGAGCTCTTTCCAACAATGCAGTGATGATAATAATAGTAATATAGATAATAATAGAAAATATGATTAAAAATTAAATAAAAAAATTAACCCAAGAAGTACGATATAGGTTGAATGTACTGTACTGGGCTTTTAAAGCTAAATGGACCAGTTTAATAGAGACATGCCATGTGCTGTGAATTGCTTAGTAAGTCTTTATGTGGAAATTAAGGATTTATTGTGTGTTTTTAGCTACAAACTTCCAGCGCAGGATGATGGTGTTGACTATGCTGAAGCAGATGAGGTGAATAAACTTCACTTAATTGTGTTTTCTATATTCTATATTATTATTGAGCTAAAATGTAATCATAATGTATTATTAAAAATGACAAACAAAAATAAATATCAACTGCAGGTCGACATATATTTTTTGATAATTTATATTCCCATTTCCATCAGGGTCACTTCCGCCACAAATCATCATTTATCATTTGACATCTGAAGAGGAGACACACTGAAGTCAAAGGCGTATCAAATCCCATAATGGGGCTTTGTGTGAGAAATTTGAGCTGTAACATTACACATGAACCTACAAGCTTGCCAAAGTTATCATCAGGAAAAATATCAATCATTATTTCAATTTTGCTTTCTGATAGGCAATTGCAAAATCATGCCCCATGTTAGTACACTGTTTACTTTTTTTTTTGTAGCACAAATGTCTTGTCCTCAAGTCTTTACTGTAACTACAACTACAGTACGATTTAAAGCTTTGACTTTTGAACTTCCACCAACATGTTCATCTTAACTGATAATAATAACTGATGCTGGAACATTCACCCATACTGTTTTTAGACAATGTTTTTTACATCCTAAAATGTCTACAAAGTACAACAAACCTGTTTTAAAAAAACAGTCTTGCATAACCTCTGAATGCAAGCTAGACTAGTTTATGTTAATATGAAGGTAGGTTGTGTCAATATTTATATATACATACAGACAGACAGACAATGAGTGGGGCATGTATAAAAAGCTGATAATCTGTTACATGCAGAGTCAAGGGGCACAATGAAACTGTCTATTGTGCTTAAAAAAGCCAACTAACTTTATTCTCTGCGTTCAGAATAACTAAGAAACATATTAAAGTTATACAGTATAATGCTGCAAGTTCAAATGTATTATTATGATTAGATCAAGTAATTATGATTTTTTCAGAGTGCCGCGTCTGTGTATAAGTGACCTTCTGTGCTTACTAATTACTTATTTTATGAATATTGGACATATTGTCCAGTTTTGACTCAGAATTAACTGTATTTTCTTTATGAACACAATATACAATATTAATGGATGTACAGGCAATAAAACTTTGTTAGAAACAAATGTCTACACATACATTTTTATCAGTAACAATACATAAGTATTAAACATGTTTCAAATTGAAATTGTTAAATGACTTTTTGAAACATTGATATGGTTATTTTTTAATTTATATACTTTGTAAAATAACACTACTCAGGAACTGTTGTAAAATGTGAATTGTTGATTCGTTGTAGTGCAAGTAATGGATTCTGTTATGCTTACTTCATTTTGTCAATAAATACATAAATAACATTAGTAACTGTATTTACTGTATTGTTGGGACTTTTTATTTGCAAATTACTACAGAAGAGTTGAACTTTTATTTTGAAAAATAATGCAGTCAACCAGACAACCCCGGAAGTGCAACAACATAGGAAATGATTGCTTGCAACATTATGCTATTTCAGGAAAGATACAATTGAACAGTTTAACGCGAATAACATTCTAAAGGAAACAATCAAGGCTCACCACATTGTTAATCGGTGTCGATGAATGACGTATACATCTTGAGTTCGAGGGAAACGCAACAACCTTCAGTGTTTGGGGATATCACCATGCGACATGTTTTGTAGTATTTAGGCTTCATCGATAGGGATACGAAGACATGGTGCTGTATGTAATTGAATTCAATTGAATTTGAGAATAAATATAAAGGTAAAATAACGCTAACGTTTGCATATTTTTCCAGACCTCCCATCTGCATGCGCAGACTAGAAGCAGAATTACTACCTTTGTGATCATTGCTGGTAACAAACAAGTTGGTGTTTTTGCACTTTCCGTCATTTCGAATGAACGACTGAATTCACTTCAGTAAGAAATAGGTCACACTGAAAGTGTCACCTAAATTGGTCTTAAAAGATCTGTTCAGATCCGATCAATCTTAACCTTGTTCCTAAAACGACACAGAAAAGAACACAAGCATGAGTTTCTTCAGTTTTGGCCAAAGTGCAGAAATTGATGTAGTTCTGACTGATGCTGAGACGAGAAAGAAGGCTGAACATAAGACTGAAGATGGGAAGAAGGACAAATATTTCCTATTTTATGACGGGGAGACTGTGGCTGGAAAGGTCAACGTTACACTGAAGAACCCTGGGAAAAGACTGGAACATCAAGGGATCAAAATCGAATTTGTAGGCCAAATTGGTGAGTGTTCTTCTTAGTTTAATGCAGTGGCATCTATTCCAAACGAATCATAATAAATACAATGGCCCCTTATGTTGGACTTTTTGATCAACAACAGTAGTGTCATATGTGCCAATAGGCCTAGATGCATTCTTCTATGAGATATTGATTCTGTTGCGATGTCTTTCTTTGAATGTCTGAAGTGTATACCTGTCCTTCCTTCACAGAGCTGTACTACGACAGGGGAAACCATCATGAGTTTGTCTCCCTGGTGAAAGATCTGGCAAGGCCTGGTGAGCTTACTCAGTCACAGACCTTCGACTTTGAGTTCACCCATGTTGAGAAGCCCTATGAGTCCTACACAGGCCAGAATGTGAAGCTAAGGTAAGGAAACATGCAGCCTGAACATTCTCTGCCAAAATAACTATTACTTTATGGCTCACTCTTTAACCCGAGTTCCCCTTTGACCCGTCGGTCACATGCCTAGCACTACTTCCTCAGCAAGAGTAATGTTTGTGGGCTTCACATGCTCACATGTCTTGCATTACACACACAAATCATGATTACTGGTTATGATCATGACCATCTTCTTTTATAGCCTCAGGATGCAATGAGGATATGTTGTTGGATGACATCTGTTGAGATTAGAGGTTTGCTCAGTGTCTGTTGGTTGTACTTGCAGGTATTTTCTGCGCGCTACGGTGAGCAGGAGACTGAATGACATCAGTAAAGAGATGGATATCGTGGTGCACACACTCAGCACGTACCCAGAGCTCAACTCGTCAATAAAAATGGAAGTTGGGATCGAAGACTGTCTCCACATTGAGTTTGAGTACAACAAATCCAAGTAAAACTGAAAGAGATTAATTTCTTCAATACCCTCAATCACCTCAATGTTTTACTCAATTTACAAAATAACACCACTCCTAGTCACAGGAACATGCAGAAATCATTGTAGCTTAGAACCTTTCCTTTGACTAATTGTCTTTGTGGCAGAGCAGCCCTGTGACGATCTCTCCTGTCTTCCACAGGTACCACCTGAAAGACGTCATTGTGGGTAAGATCTACTTCCTGCTGGTGCGGATTAAGATCAAGCACATGGAGATTGACATCATCAAACGGGAGACAACTGGCACCGGTCCTAGTGTATACCATGAAAATGACACCATTGCCAAATATGAGATCATGGATGGAGCTCCTGTCCGAGGTAAAGGATATAGTGAAGTAGATTGTATGCTTTTGAAAATGGCAATGCTCAAACTACCTATCAGGTCTGACTGAGTGTTTTAATTATGTTTAAGGAGAGTCAATTCCAATCCGGTTGTTTCTGGCTGGCTATGAGATGACCCCTACCATGCGAGACATCAATAAGAAGTTCTCTGTGCGTTACTACCTTAACCTGGTGCTGATTGATGAGGAGGAGAGACGCTACTTCAAACAACAGGTACAGAACAGTAGCTTCTGATGTTTAACTGTTAGCAGTGATCCCAGATGAAATGGTGTGCCCTTAGAGGGAATTTATCAGGTGTCAGGTTCAACATGGTGTATCCACTGTTCACTGTGCTGCACATTATATATTGCATTCCTATCTAGCAGTAAATGTGTCCCTATGGAAATGCTTTAGTGATTAAGACAATGAGCTCATGACCACTTCCTTCTCCACCAGGAAATCACACTGTGGAGGAAAGGGGATGTGGTGAGGAAGAGCATGTCGACCCAGGCCACCATCGGAGCCCAGCGGTTCGAGGGCTCAGCCAGTTCGGAGAGTGCTCTGGAGAAGGCGGCGAGGGAGGACAGCGGCTAAAGCTGCCTCCACTCATTCTCCTCACAAAGACTGGCAGTGTCTGCGGAAAAGTAGTGGGGGGCACCTGTCAGCTCACATGATCACTGATAAAGTAGCCCTCTGTTTATTAGGGCTGCTGAATAAAGGGATAAAGGAAGGATGAAGGGAAGTGAAAAAGAAGCCTGCATGAGGCATTACAGGGGCCTAAAATTCCGCTGCAGGTCAACTCCCTCATCATCAACACACATATCCAGTGAAAGTAAAGCCGGCCACTTGATACCTTAAAAATTGAATATTATAAACTGGGTGGTTCGAGCCCTGAATGCTTATTGGCTGACCGCCATGGTATATCAGACCGTATACCATGGGTATGACAAAACATTTTTACTGCTCTAATTATGTTGGTAACCAGTTTATAATAGCAATAAGGCACCTTGGGTGTTTGTGATATATAGCCAATATACCACGGCTAAGGGCTGTGTCCAGGTACTCCGCGTTGCGTCGTGCGTAAAACAGCCCTTAGCCATGGTATATTAGCCATATACCACACCTCTGGCCTTATTGCATAATTATACCCTGTTATCTGTCATCTTCAAATGATTAACTTTCTTTGTCACAAAATATATTTCTAGCTTTAGCTTTATATATGAATGGATTCTAACTCCGTATACAACACTGTATTGTCATAGGGAGTTGAAGTCATGAGTAACAGTGATGCATTTTGAAAACATTCCATACCCAGTCAAATGCATTCCTGACATTTTAATGTGGCCTGTCATAATGAAATCTGAAATGTTATCTTTGCACAGATGTATGTATCTGTTGCTCCTCAACATACACATTCTCCTCTCAGTCCTTGTGTAATGATTGCACAGTGAGATCAATGGAAGGTTTCTATAGCGTTGGAAGTGTTGTCTAATTTCTTTGTTGAGTGAGAGGGCTGGATAAAGTATTACTAACCCATTAATTTTAAAGTCCTGCAAATAAGAGCTATAGAAATCTCTCACCCTCTTATGCCGTTAAACCGTCATATACAGTGAATAGCATACCGACGGTGCCACAATATGACCATTCCATTCACATGCTTTACCTAAGCATTCAATAGTTAGGCAGGGATTTTAAGTGCTTGTATTTGAGGTCCGATAGTAAGAAGTCTTCTGTATTGTCCATGTTAGAGACTTGAAATGTTGTGCCTAAGTGTATCTATCTAGCAAATGAAATCCTGTTGCCTCAATACATTTAACACACTTCTTTTAGCCTGAGGTTTTCCTCTATTTTTTTGTGCTCTGCAAATTACTAATCTATAGCCCCTTTCCCCAAAACTGAAATAAATTGATGCCAAATGCATTGTTATCCACAGACTCGTTTTAGTATAGAAATAAGTTGTGTGCACCTGATAAATATTTCAATGGACTGATGGAATGATTGATTTAATTTCCAAGGGTAAAGGCAAATGTTGCATGTTTAGACCGAAATGATCCCCTTTAGACAGTGAAGGAAAACACATTAACTGTCTTAATAATATAAACATATTTAATATTAGAAATAAACTCCAGGGTGTCTGACAAACACAGAAACCTTGAGACAATTTCCATTCAATACATGCACAATGGTTCAATAGACCTCACCTACAGGAAACATATTAGCAGCAGCAGCATCATACACAAGACAGGAAAACTATTCTATCCAGGCCATCTTGTCCAAATCTTCACAGTGGGTCTTTGTCTTCCAAACTCAAATTCCTCTGAGATGAAAATATGATTTTACTGAGGTGGAGAGCTCTGCAACTGGATCCTGGACTTCCTGACAGGCCGCCCCAAGGTGGTAAGGGTAGGTAACAACACATCTGCCGCGCTGATCCTCAACACGGGGGCCTCTCAGGGGTGCGTGCTCAGTCCCCTCCTGAACTCCCTGTTCACCCATGACTCATGGCCAAGCACGACTTCAACACCATCATTAAGTTTGCCGACGGCAAAACAGTGGTAGGCCTGATTACCAACAACGATGAGACAGCCTATAGGGAGGAGGTCAGAGACCTGGCGTTGTGGTGCCAGGATAACAACCTCTCCCTCAACGTGATCAAGATAAAGGAGATGATTGTGGACAACAGGAAAAGGAGGACCGAGCACGCCCCCATTCTCATCGACAGGGCTTTAGTGGAGCAGGTCGAGAGCTTCAAGTTCCTTGGTGTCCACATCGCCAACAAACTATCATGGTCCAAACACACCAAGACAGTTGTGAAGAGGGCACAACAAAGCCTATTCCCCCTCAGGAGACTGAAAAGATTTGGAATGGGTCCTCAGATCCTCAAAAAGTTATACAGCTGCACCATCGAGAGCATCCTGACTGGTTTCATCACAGCCTGGTATGGCAACTGCTCGACCTCAGACCGCAAGGCACTACAGAGGGTAGTGCGTATGGCCCAGTACATCACTGGGGCCAAGCTTCCTGCCAACCAGGACCTCTATACCAGGCGGTGTCAGACGAAGGCCCTAAAAATTGCCAAGGACTCCAGCCATCCTAGTCATAGACTGTTCTCTCTGCTACCGCACGGCAAGCAGTACCGGAGCGCCAAGTCTAGGTCCAAAAGGCCTCTTAACAGCTTCTACCCCCAAGCCATAAGACTCCTGAACAGCTAATCAAATGGCTACCCGGACTATTTGCATTGTCCCCCACCCCCTCTTTTACGCTGCTGCTACTCTGTTTATTATCTATGCATAGTCACGTTACCTCTACCTACATGTACATATTACCTCAATTACCTCAACTAACCTGTGCCCCCGCACATTGACTCTGTACCCTGTATATAGCCTTGCTACTGTTATTTTACTGCTACTCTTTAATAACTTTTCTATTTTTCTTGATAAGTTGTTTAAAAAAAAACATTTTTCTTAAAACGGCATTGTTGGTTAAGGGCTTGTAAGTAAGCATTTCACTGTAAGGTCTACACCTGTTGTATTCGGCACATGTGACAAATAAGATTTGATTTGATTTGATAACCATATTATTCAGTGTCACTGATCTCCACGTACCACTGGTGAGGGGCTGGAAAGACAGCCTGGCCCTGGTGAAGAGAGCCATGCCATTCAGGGGCCCGCCTTGTGCTGCAGGTGGGTCTTCAAGTCAGACAGAGGAATGAAGTCCTTCAACATCCTCTCAAACTGGACATCAACCTGGCAGTCAAACATGAAACAAGCCAGCAGAGCACTAGTACGGTCTAAATTGGATTGTGATAAAAAGACTGTTACATATCAGTGATGTATCTTGATCTCAAGCCATTTGGAACACAAACAAATGTAAACATGAAACCGTTCATACCATACTCCATTTGGGGTTGTCTGCCTTGCTGGAGGTGTAGTAATGGACATCTTTCAAACCGTGTGGTCCACATAAGACTCCTTTACAATCTGGAAAAGAGAAAGCAGGTAAGAGGCACCATACCTGAAACACAGAGTGTATATTACCAACAGAAATAGGAAGAGGTAGAGGCTCACCTTCATAACTCCAGATATTCCAGGCTCCTTGCAGTTGCTGTGGTAGAAGAACGCATGCTGCCCCTCTTTACAGGCCTGGTAGTTCCGAACACCATCCCAACACCCAGTTTGGTTGGGAAGAGTCTTCAGATCCTCGATCCCAAACTGTGACATAGTAAGTAAGTAAGCCTTAACAAGCCATAACGACCCATAGGGCAGGAGCCTATCTCCTGTTTCTGTATATCGTTAGGCAGCTTGATGTAAAAGTGTACCCCCTAAACAGGATTGTAGTCTGCCGCAGGGCCTTACCCCCAATCCATCTCCTTAATGCTGAAAGCCAAGCAGATGCATCGGGTCCCCTTTTTTGAGTCTTTGGTATGACTTGACAGTGGACCTTCCAATCTAAGGGTGGACTCATTAACCACAAAGCCTCTGAGTTGGTAACAACTGTGACATGGAATAGCCTAGATAGAATTTATCCTGAACAAGACATCATTATTGAGCAACAACAGGTTTTGAAACAGATGACACCATCCTATTATTAAGGAGAACAGAATACCTTGACATCTATGCAATTTTCAAAGCAGCTCTCTGGCTCTGACTTCATCAGCCAGTGACAGTACTGTGGTCATTCAGGTGATTTTTCTCCCTTTGAACTCCTCTTTTCCAGTCTTCCCTGAACCTGAAGCTTTCCTCTTCCCCCTGGACTGCCTGACCAACCTCCAATGGGGAGTCCTCACTGTGGGCACTATTTTGTGTCTCTTGCCTGGGTAACAGTACATAGAATACATGCACATATTAATAGCCATTCGAAAATCAATTCATAGTGGTAGTAAAGTGAGTGTGAAAAACCTTGCAATTGCATGTCATTCATTCCACAGAAATGTGAATGCTTTTACTTACTGGATTGTAGTGTTCTTGTGGTTCCACGGGTTCTCATTTTAGGTGCAATGTCTGAGAAATGAATAAATAGTTGTTGGCGTTGGTTGGCTTGGAAGAACTAGAACCTTCAAGTACCATTCCAATGATCCCTAACCATTCTGTGTGTGTGACATTTGATTTACAGCAAATAAAGAACGTATTTCATTAAATCAGATAATTATGCGGAGGATTACATTTTTACTTATTCGTATGTTATAAAGATGCAAATCGAACTGGTCGAAACCATAAAACTCAGAACACTGGGTCCCCCGTGTAGCTCAGTTGGTAGAGCATGGCGTTTGCAACGCCAAGGTTGTGGGTTCGATTCCCACGGGGGGGCAGTATGAAAATGTATGCACTCACTAACTGTAAATCGCTCTGGATAAGAACGTCTGCTAAATGACTAAAATGTAACACTGCAAAAGGAAGGTCCCTGAATGATGAAAAACTCCCGCGCTAGTGACGTATGTCGAAGGCACGTGATGTAGAAATAATTAGCTTTAGTTTGATTTCTCTGTTTAGGTCCCCTTAATGTCTATGGTTTATGCAAGCAATTGACCTTAGGGTATATTTCGGTGGTTAATGAAATTACGAGGGAAAATGTGCCTTTTCCTGAAAAAGCACAGAAGAAAACTAACCAAGAACTACACAATCGCACTACATTTCCCTACAGCAGCAGCGTGATATCACCAGTGACGAACATGGCGGCCGTGGGAACGTTCTCTAGAGTTGCTAGACTGAGTTCATGCATCTGCAGAAGTCGCCGTTTAATATCTATCAGCACACAGAGACGAGGAATAGCTTCATGCATTGACCGTAAACTCCATCTTTTGGAGTTCAAAATCGTTAGAGTAATGCGAACTTGCACTACTAGCCATCTGACGCGTTAGCTAGTTGGGATGAGCAGAATAGCTCGCTAAACTAGCTAACTTTAGCTGACTAGTCGGTAACAGACTGCATATAGTGTTTTGTTTTTCATTACTAAGTGTCCATTTTCCAGCAATACATTACTACCTAAGTACTAGTTAGTCATACTCTGCTGGTAACGTGAGAGTTTTAGACAGAAACAACTAACGTTATACTAGCTATGTAACAACCTCTGGTGGTCAAGTGATACTCCATATCGTCAGTGTTGCCAACTCCTCAGTAAGGAAAGTAGCTATTGGCTGTCCTAAGAGTAGCTAGAAGTCGCTAAATGACGTCATTGCCTAATTTGCATAATTGGCCATGTGCATGTAATTGTGATGGATGCTGTAGGAGAGTGGAATAACGCCGTGGAAGAGACAAAAAGTGAGTAGAAAACCCCCTAAATATGTTTAGAACTACAAATGAACTTTCTTCTGTCGATTCTTGTTTTTTTTAATGTTTTACATTTACATCCGGGCGGGTGGAAGACCGGAATCAGGAATGACGTCGGGCGATTGGGGACTATGTGGCGGACCACATTTTTTCAGATGGAAGACGCAGGCCAAGATCCAGAGGATAGAATAGATGCCGGAGGGAGCAATGAAGAGGTAATTGTGGACTGTGAGGCTGAGGATAGAATAGACGCCGGAAGGGAAAGGAGGGGGAAAATTGAGTCCTTTGAGAAGGCAAGAAATAGATATTGGTCAGGAGAAATGCAGTGTTATCATAAGGAGACGTATACTTGGATGAATGAGGAGGAATGGAGGGAAAAAGAGAGGCAGAGGAGGTCTAAGAGAGAGGGGGAGGAAGACTGTGAGGTTGAGTCGGTAAAAAATGGCGGGGAGAAGGTTTGTTGAAGAGTGGTAGGAAATGTAAGCAAAGTGAGCTGAAGACAGGAGTAGAAATGGAAGAGGGTGAAGTATCGGAGGTGGTAGGTGTGGTGAAGTGCTCAGAGCCAGAGGCTTGCACAGAGGGTCAGGATAAAGAGGAGTCTGTGACAGTAGGAATGAAGTTTGTGGAAAAAGTGGATTCTTGCCTTTTGGCTGATCCATTTGTGGTTTCAAGATGGGTGAAAAAAGCGTTGGCTATAGTGGAATCGGTGAGGGTAACCAGAAGTGGTCTAGTGATAATTGTTTGTGTTTTGTTGGGCAGAGGGAGAAGGCGCTCAGAGTTAAACAAATGGGGGAAAGAATTGTGAATTGTTTCGCTCTTAGGAAAAGGGTGCCATTGAGAGGAGTGATTACTGGGGTAGCAGTGAATGTAAAAGTGGATCAACTGAAGGAGAAAATTCCCAGTGTGTGTGATGCTCGTCGTTTGGTGTGACGTAAACAGGGTGGCGAGAGTGGGGAAACAAGAGTCATTGTCTGTTCTTTTGAGTTTTGAAAATGTATTTAGGATATATAAGTTATCTTGTGCGAGCTTATGTGCCGAGTACATTACGATGTTACAGGTGTCAAACTTATGGGCATGTGGCAGCAGTATGTAGGAGGGAGATTCCAAGGTGTGAGGAGTGTGAAGCAGTGGGGAAAGTGGTGGTATGTGCTAATTGTAGGGGTGGCCATGGGGCTGGGGATCAGACGTGTCCTGTGCGAGAGAAGCAGGTTGAGGTTTCCAGGGTAAGAGTAGAGAAGAAGTTGTCATATGTGGAGGCAGTGAAGAAAGTAGAGGAAGAGGGGTCAAGGGTAAGGGAGTGGTGAGAGTAGGAGATATATACCAGTACAGTGGGATAGGCAAGCAAGTGATATATGTTTCAGTAAGATTGGGTTTTTAGCATTTATAGCAATGGTTATTAATTGTACTGCAGGGATGGAACGCAAATCGAAGAAAATTGAGGTTGTGGTGGCAGCTGCAGAGAGATATTTGGGTGTGCGAGACTTGACAGCAGAAGAGTTACAGGGAGTGTTAAGTGGTGATGTCCCATCATTTCAGGTTGAGGGCATGAGGTAGGAGTGAGTATATTTAAATAGTGGAGAAGGGTGGGGTTAATTATTAGTTGTCGTGTTGAAGGTGTGAGTGGTGTTAGATGGTAGGATATTTCTTTGCTTTGTTTTATTAAATTTTTCAAGGAAAGATAAGGGAGTTGTACTCCAGGCTAGTAGGTGGCGGTAATGCAACAAATTGGATGCCAACCGCTGTTAAACCTCATTGAAGTCCCCTGTAGCTCAGTTTGTAGAGCATGGCGCTTGCAACGCCAGGGTTGTGGGTTCGTTTCCCACGGGGGGCCAGTATGAAAATGTATGCACTCACTAACTGTAAGTTGCTCTGGATAAGAGCGTCTGCTAAATGACTAAAATGTAAGAAGAAGAAGAAGCCAGGGCGGGATCAGCCAACGGTAGCTTCCCGCATGCGCAATTCATTTGCAGTCTGGACGCGGAGGGGTGAACATCGTGCTCTGACTGCAGCTGGGAGGGACTGCTCCGCGAGGACTGGGCCGCCTGTGAGTGCTTTGGGACGGGTGGGGCCCACGGCAGCACCCGCTGCTCGTTGAGAAGAGTAAGAACGATACGCGCTTTCATGTCAGAGTCTCCAAAAGTCTCCAATAACACCAGAAAAAGTCGCTAGTCGCTTTTTTGAAAATGTGTCGCTAGAGGGGTATGAATACTTGCTAAATATAGCGACAAAGTCGCTAAGTTGGCAACACCCTGCCTTGGGGTGGGCTTCTGTCCTGATCTATGTTGACTTGACATATGTGATGTGTGTCACATGTTCAATGGTTGTTTCAACAATTTCTCTTCATGTGAAAAAGTGTTTAAAATGATTCTGGTCATTTTGCCTTACTCTACAGTACTACCATTATCTTACACCACTAGGCTTTATGCAGTATGTGCCCTGCATGACTCTATTCTTAACTCCCTCCTTGCAGCTGCTCATGGCCTCAGTGATGAACAGAAGCAGTTTCAGAAAATGGCCTTTGACTTCGCAGCCAATGAAATGTCTCCACACATGGCCAAGTGAGAGGAAAAGGTATTACTGTGCAGTGCAGCTTGTTTAGCTATATTTTTGAGGTACTTTAACATCTGACTCCCTTTCAATCCATACATATCAATGGAATAAATGGAACGGTATCAAACATATGGAAACTACATGTTTGACTCCTTTCCATTTATACCATTAAAAAGAGCCTGTCTTCCTATAGCTCCTACCACCAGCCTCCTCTGAAATCACTAAACCCCTTTTTGTGTGAGGGCATTTGTTTGAACGTAAAAAGCAACTTTCATTGTTCAGGAATTCTTCCCGGTGGAGACCATGCGTAAGGCTGCCCAGCTGGGGTTTGGGGGGGGGATCTGGCCTGTCTCGCCTGGACACCTCGGTCATCTTTGAGGCCTTATCGACAGGCTGCGTCAGCACCACGGCCTACATCAGCATTCACAAGTAAGGCCTGGCAAGTGCCAGCAATCACCATTCAACCTCTCAAAAGTGTCTGCTCAAGAGATACCCCTGCTTTCAATTGATATCTAGTCAATTGTCTATGTGTGATGTTTGGTGTAAGTATGGGGTGTTCTTTAATATATGCTCATTTCTGTGCAGCATGTGTAACTGGATGATTGACACCTTTGGCAACACTGAGCAGAGGGAGAAGTACTGTAAAGCAGGAGCCTACAAACTTACATGGTCTGTAGTTCATTTCCACGTCTAAGTGAAGCCATGCCCACCAGGGGGCATAGTTGAGTCATAGTTGTGTTGATGCCCAGAGGGGTGCAGTGATTCTCCAACGGAGGCTTCTATTCTCTCTCTCCAGGTAGGATGGAACTCTCAACCAACCAGAGCAGTGATCTTAGAGGCCTGCCACGTCCCAGTGACCAGTCAGCTGGGTCAGAGCTTTAACATCGCTATAAGAGGCCTGAACGGAGGCAGGATCAATATTGGTGAGATGGCACCAGATGTACCTTTTGTTTCAATGGTTTGTTATTTGATGGCCATCTATATATTTTTCTCAAGTCGGTTTTGCTTAACCCATTTACTTCACTCGTTTTGAAAACACAACCAAGGCTCAGGTGTCTGATACATTAAATTACTGTGGTTTATCTGCCTGCAGCCTCTTGTTCTCTTGGGGCGGCCTATGCATGTGTACAGCTGGCGAGAGATCACCTGTTAGTACGCAAGCAGTTTGGAGAGACCTTCTCCAACAACCAGGTAAACATCCCATCAGGTCTACAACATACCTTTAGTAATCCAATAGGACATTTGATACTGTGTTTCTTGACGGTTTCCCTCTGGGTTCCTTCTGTAGTTCCTGCAGTTTGAGATGGCAACCAAGCTAGTGGCGTTGCGTCTGTTGGTGCTGCAGGAGGGCAGGTCTGATGCTGTTTCCCTCTGCTCCATGGCCAACTCTTTGTCACTGACGAGTGCTTCAAAGTGAGTCAATTAGTTTTCTCTCTTAAAATGGCTCTTAAGGATAGATCCTCCCCAAAATAATGAATACTGTTATTTTAGTATTTACTGTAAAACTTCCATTAGCTAGTTATTATAATGAATACTGTTATTTTAGTATTTACTGTAAAACTTCCATTAGCTAGTTATTAGCCTGGGCGTGTATTTGTTTCAACTGCAGCAGACTTGCGTTTTGACATGCAGGGATCAGTCATTCATCGCAAGGTAGCGATGCAGTGAAATTCCACTGTAGCAGACCTGCAAAATGCAGACAGCGCATGCATGACAACACTTTTTTTTGGGACCCAGAGCTTATTATAGGCCAGTGTTTATTTGCTAAAATGTGAAACGATGCCCGACCATTAAGAGACCAGTGCTTGTTGGAGACTCAACGTTTTACAGTAAGTGGTCTTCTCTTGCACACTGGTAATGATGTAGACGTCTAGCTATCAGATGTAGCTGGACAGCTCTCTCACACACATCGGTATCTCTGCCCTCTCTCAGCAGATCTGTAACCATGGTGGATACTGTTCAGCAGTTTGTCCGGGACATCAGAGTACACCAGATACTGGAGGGTATGTACACACACATCTCTCTTACCACGACAAAGCTGTCCTTGTGAAATTGTGCTTTATAACATAGATGGTTATCAGTATTTTAATGGCAATGCACATCTTTATAAACTTGTGATCACTAGTCACTGTTGTTGCATTGACAAATTACTGATGTTTTACCCTTTTATATTCTCTCTTTCAGGAACAAATGAAGTGATGCGGATGATAATTGCTAGAAGCTTACTGTCAGTCTGGATAAATGTAATGCCATGGGCTGTCCAAAAATTTACTTTCTCCTGTCTTAAAGGGATGGTGTGGTGGCAGCCATCGTGTGGTGTTTGACTGTGACTGGATCCCTCAAGTGTCTTGAACTCCCCTCTTTTTAAAGGGGGAAATACTATAGCAGTTTTATGCTTTGTTTCAAGCGAGTTTTGTTTTTGAGATTACTATAGGCTAAAGCCGTCATTAGGTCCTCCTTTCCTGTTTGCGTGGAATTAAATGTAGGGGTTTTAAATAACAGCTGCTCATTGAGAGATATGGAAGTGGAACCATATTAGAAATGTAATATTTCTCCATGCTGTATTTTGTGGTTAATAAGTGTTAGTATTGGGGTGAAGGTTTTTGGTTGTCTTGCACTTAACATTCTGTCAGATGATTAGTTTGATGACATCACGGCCTCTCCTGCACAAAGTGGCCTTTCATGTGTATTCAGTTATGATGGCAACATTTGAAACATGAACAAGTTTGGTTCTCAGGATACAATTTCTGTTTAATCATAAAACTAATATTTTTTTATAGAATGTAGGAAACACTAAATTAAATGTATCTAGGCGGGTTGGATGACCGAGGTTTCATGTACGTGTGTGTACTATAATATTTGGTGCTCAATGTTTGGTACTGCATTATGATCAGAACCATGTTTATTGAAAAGTTTTAAAAGGTCCAATGCAGCTGTTGACTTCTGGATAACAATTATTTACCTTGCTGTGATTGTTTTCAATTAAAATGGTACAATTCTTTCTTTTGTAGCAATGAGCAATTTCTCAAGCAAGAATTTCAAACCGCTCTTAAACTAAACTGCCATTATAATTTTCACAATTTCAGTATTATTCCAACCTCAAAACACAGGAAAATCACATTTTTGACTGCACAGGGCCTTTAAGAACCTTTGTTAAGGGAAGAATATTTAAAACCCAGATATCTCAGCCATTGAACATGAACATGAACATTATAGCCTACCATTATCGATGAATTATACATTCTAGCTACCTAATTGAGGTTAGTAATATATTCTCAGTGTACATAAATGTGATAAAATTGCATGAATATTCTGTAAGTTGTTCTTATTAGATACACACATGTACAAGTATGGGTCGACGCTTTGTCTTTAAACATCATTGCCAGTATTGAAATTCTATCAAATACCTGGGTAGAGCATGTATGGGCAGTTTTACTGGAGTGAAACACAACTCAACATGAACAGTTGGCCTGAGAAAAACATTGTCCAGGAGGACTAAGGGAGTGTGCTTTACTGTATATCAGGTGTGTGTGTGTGAAGTTAAATGTTTAACACATCTCTATGAGCAGTAATATGCTTAGTGTCAGCATGATGGTGTTGTGAGTTGATGAGCATACGTTCTCTCCAGACAACACCTCGCTTATCAATGTCAATATTTCATATATACATTATATGTAAAATGTTTATAAGTCATACAACTGTCAAATATACCGATTCAACAACCTCTTCACAAACAACTTCTTCCATAAAAAATGTTTGTGGCCTTAGAGAATAGGCCTTGTTTTAACCTTAAAGAATCTGAGCATGGCATATAAAAGCAAAAACATATTTAGCAAAAAAGATTTAAACAGCAAAAAGAATAAAAACAAATCAAGTAAGTCTGAACTTGTGCAGACTTGAATACCGTAGATTCAACAAGTGCCTTCTTTAGCATGAGCTCTTTATTCTACTTATTTTGAACGATTGCAATAAAAAAAAAGAGTTTAATTCCTAGCAAATCCTCTCCTCTATGCAGTCTTCCTTTGAGGAAGTCTTTATCCATTTGCTTCAGTTTTTTGTGCTCAATAGTAAAACAGGATACCCTCCAGTGGGCTATACCAGTGATCCAGCCTGGCTCTGAGCGGGCACAGCACCCATACGGGCCAGGGTGGCGGATCTGATGGGCGAGGTGAGAGGGCGTGGTACCTGGGGCTGGGCCCCCTCAGTCTTGTCGGGGTCTGTGACCATGTGGCCAGGTGGGGAATGGGGTGGGGCACCGTTGGAACTGGAGGATCTGCTGTGTCCATAGTGAGGCATACTACTGATGCTGGTGGGTCGGCTGTGGTTGGAACTGTGAGGTCTGCTGTGCCTGTGTGGAGCTCTGCCACCAATGTGGTTCGAACTCGGTGGTCTGCTGTGCCCATGTGGAGAGGAGGCACCGATTTTGTTAAAACTTGGGGGTCGACTGTGCTTATGTGGAGAGGTGACACCAACATGGTTAGAACTGGGGGGTTGACTGAACCCATGTGGAGAGGTGACACCAACATGGTTAGAACTGGGGGGTTGACTGAACCCATGTGGAGAGGTGACACCAACATGGTTAGAACTGGGGGGTTGACTGAACCCATGTGGAGAGGTGACACCAACACGGTTAGAACTGGGGGGTTCACTGAACCCATAGGGAGGGGTGTCAACAATGATCCTAGTGCTGAGGGGCCGGGTGTGGCCAGGGGGTGGAGCCCCACTGATGTGGTTAGAACTGGGGGGTTGACTGTGCCCGTGTGGAGAGGTGGCATCAATGTTGTTAGCAACACAGTGGGGTCTGGTGTGCCCGGGTGGAGGTGTGCCACTGATGTACCCTGGGAGGCCCTGCAGAGGGTTGGGCTCTCCAGGCCGAAGGCGGTAGGCGTTGAGCACAGAGCCTGTGTCACAGACCGGGGCAGTGGGGTAGGGGTAGTGGAAGTTGTTGGGCTGCTGGGGGTCTCGCAGATGGGGGCTCATGTCTATGGAGCACAGCGTCCCATTTTTGGAGAGGATGTCTGAGCCTGTGCCACTCTTTGCCCAGGAAACACGCTTGGGTGCCTGGGCATCCTCCCTGTGATGGATAGACAGACAGAGACAGACAGCCAGCTAATGAGAAACCACCAACTAAGATCATATCACATGTTACACACATCCTCCAACCACCAACCTGCAGAAACCGAATTAGAACACCTGCATCATCCATGGTAGAGTACTATTAGTTATACATCCCGTGACGTTTAACAACTGCACCCTTTTTTCAGATAACGAACACAGACAAAATCTCACTTGATATCATTGGCCATCTCCTCTTCGTGGTCTCTCCTCCTCAGTATGAAGATGAGGAAGAGTATGATGGCTACCAGTCCCACGATGGACCCCAGAGTAGCAGCAACAATGGTTCCAGCATTAGAGGCTGTGGAAGAGGACACACAGAGAGGATTCAAACAGGAAACAAGAGCAGTCTGTATATACTAGTATGAAATTGTGTGTGTTCCTTTGCTATACGTACAGGTGAAGACCTCCAGGTTGATAGAGCAAGTGTCAGAGCCGGCAGTGTTGCTAGCTCGGCACACATATTTCCCTGACATGCTCTTAGTGAGGTTACTCAGCCTGAGGGTGCCTTGCCTCTCATCTGAAAGAGAAAGACAGTGTTACACACTCTTGCCTCTACAGTACATGAACATGTTTATGATGTACAGTGCACAGAATGTTATATACCTTTCATATGAAATCTCCTTCTACAGTAATGTAGACAGTTACACTAGGTAACACAAGGATAGCTACAGTATGTACACAAACATAATTAGACTACACACTCTACTAAGTACAATACTCTCTTGGTTCCGAAGCTATAAGTATTGAGGGGTACCTGGTCCCAGGGAGTCACATCCCACTGGGCACATCGTCAATTCAATGTCTATTCCACGTTGGTTCAACATGACGTGGAAACAATGTTGATTCAACCAGTATGTGCCCAGTGGGATGGGCTGTTGGTTTTCTTTATACCAGTACAGATCCTCTTTGATGATATCACTCCTTTCTGTCCCGGGCATAAATAATGAGGTTATATGGAGACATCACTAGCAAATGGTTAAACACCAGACAAGGAATCTCCACAATGATGAATCAGAACCTGTGGCTTTTCACAGCTGGACTTCCTCAGTTTACATAATCTTAGTTGTTGTGATCCACTTGTCATAGCTGGCGTGGGGATGCTCTATTCTAAGTATGTAACACCGGGGACACTAGAGAATAATAAACACGAGGGGCAGCTCTTACCAAGCAAATCCTCTCAAAATCCGATTGGAAACGTCACATGAGAGAATATTTTCATCAGATGTGTTTACAAATCAAATCAAATGTTACTTGTCACATGCGTCATAAACAACAGGTGTAGACTAACAGTGAAATGCTTACTTACTTGCCCTTTCCAACAATGCAGAGAGAAAAATAGATAAATCATAGAAAGATAACGAGGAATAAATACACAATGAGTAACGATAACTTATTACACAGGGTACCAGTACCGAGTCAATGTGCAGGGGTATGCGGTAATTGAGGTATATACGTACATATAGGTAGGGGTAAAGTGACTAGGCAACAGGATATATAATAAGCAGTAGCAGCAGAATATGTGATGAGTCAAAAGAGTTAGTGCAAAGTGGGGTCAATGCTATTTGGTTAACTATTTAGCAGTCTTATGGCTTGGGGGTGGTAGCTGTTCAGGGTCCTGTTGGTTCCAGACTTGGTGCATCGGTACCGCTTGCCGTGCAGTAGCAGAGAGAACAGTCCGACTTGGGTGGCTGGAGCCTCCACCCATATATACCAATATAAAGGATCAAGGGGGAAAACAAATATATATATCCTGATGAATTTCATAAATGGAGAATCAAAGCAACCCAGTGACTCAACCAGCTCAGCTCAAGTAGAGAAGCTAAAGTTCACAATATGATGTCAGTACCTTTACTAATAACCAGACTAGAAAGTCCTATAAATAAACTATGGTGTACGATGTCCTCTGTCCTAAATTTTCATTGCGACAAACAGCTGTTTTTCCCTGTCCCAAAGTCTAGGAGTGAACTACTGGCTGGGATTCTTGTTTGATAACCTTAGCATGCACCATCTGCTGTTCTCTCTGGGAGGGTGGGGGCAAATCATTAAGCAAGCAAAGCACACAGACTCCACAACGCAACGGTGCTACTGCTAACTCATACTTTCCATTTCAGAGTAAACAATGCCTCTTGGGGAGATATAATTTGCGGTAATGAGGATTCAATACAACTATACTAAGTACTTGGCCTGACAGTGATTTGGTGTGCCAGATGGATGTGCCTGTAGGTGTGTTCAATAAGCACCTGCCATTAGTAACTCAGACGAGAGGAACCAGACACAATTGCTTTAGATTAACGACAGATCAGCTCATTCTTAAACATGGCAGATTCTCAAAATTGCACTGCAATCAAGATCCAAAGACAGACATGTAGGTGATCTGACATCACCAATCTCTATATACCAAGAAAGTATTGTACTGATCAAAATACACTGAAATCAAACCATGAAATAACTACAGTAATACTGACTACAGTACTAATTAACTACAGTAGCAAGTGACTATCACCAACATTTCTACAGGAAAGATCTAAGAATGCAAGAACACACAAACAAACTGACAGTATTTGTGACAATTGTTAATTGTGCACCTTCTCATGTTTCATACATATTCAGAATGTTAAGACACAATCTTAGTCTATGTACAACACAAAAACGAAACACTTATGGATTAAATCAAAACTCAATGACCTCAGCAAATGCAGCAAATTGCACCTTGCAATCTTAGTTTTGATTTAATCATTGAATGTCTGTCATTTGATGCAAAGGACCAATGAAAGCCATTGTGAGAAAGTCAAGGCTTTGTCTTTATCTCTGGCCTTGATATGTAGCCTACCTTTACCTTCACCACTTGACTATTGTTGCCTTTACAGTAATTTACCATTTATTTTTGCATATTGATTACTGTGGATTTTCATACTTTTATATTGTGTTATTTGAGCATATTATGAAGAGGTTAACCTACAGCATAGTGGTTGCTATGTTATGAAGTAGTTTCATCTTCTGGCCAGGCCAAATGGCTAAGGGCCAAGGGCTCGTATCAGTTGATCATTACCAAAGGAAAAAAAGACATGTCATCTCAGATCGACTGAGTTTATAAAGGCAATGCAGATGTATACAAGGCAAAGTCATTGGTGAGGATTAACAAAGGCATGCTTTTGGATGAATAACATACAATTCTTCTAAAGGTTCAACTTTACAGCTGTGTCTGTCCAGTGGGGGGTCAGGGGGGATGGGGTGACACCAGTGAGATTATAGAGAGCAATAGCAATGGCGTCTTTTTGTAGGCACAAACTCCACCATGGCTCATTGGCCAAAGCCTATGGGGGATGAATGTTTTTTTTTTTTAGGATAAACAGCAAAACTAAGGTCTGTGGTACACACAGCTAACACCACGTTTGTGAACGTTGAAGCATTTACAGTGGGGAAAAAAAGTATTTAGTCAGCCACCAATTGTGCAAGTTCTCCCACTTAAAAAGATGAGAGAGGCCTGTAATTTTCATCATAGGTACACGTCAACTATGACAGACAAATTGAGAAGAAAAAAATCCAGAAAATCACATTGTAGGATTTTTAATGATTTTATTTGCAAATTATGGTGGAAAATAAGTATTTGGTCACCTACAAACAAGCAAGATTTCTGGCTCTCACAGACCTGTAACTTCTTCTTTAAGAGGCTCCTCTGCCCTTCACTCGTTCCTTGTATTAATGGCACCTGTTTGAACTTGTTATCAGTTTAAAAGACACCTGTCCACAACCTCAAACAGTCACACTCCAAACTCCACTATGGCCAAGACCAAAGAGCTGTCAAAGGACACCAGAAACAAAAAATTGTAGACCTGCACCAGGCTGGGAATACTGAATCTGCAATAGGTAAGCAGCTTGGTTTGAAGAAATCAACTGTGGGAGCAATTATTAGGAAATGGAAGACATACAAGACCACTGATAATCTCCCTCGATCTGGGGCTCCACGCAAGATCTCACCCCGTGGGGTCAAAATGATCACAAGAACGGTGAGCAAAAATCCCAGAACCACACGGGGGGACCTAGTGAATGACCTGCAGAGAGCTGGGACCAAAGTAACAAAGCCTACCATCAGTAACACACTACGCCGCCAGGGACTCAAATCCTGCAGTGCCAGACGTGTCCCCCTGCTTAAGCCAGTACATGTCCAGGCCCGTCTGAAGTTTGCTAGAGTGCATTTGAATGATCCAGAAGAGGATTGGGAGAATGTCATATGGTCAGATGAAACCAAAATATAACTTTTTGGTAAAAACTAAACTTGTCGTGTTTGGAGGACAAAGAATGCTGAGTTGCATCCAAAGAACACCATACCTAATGTGAAGCATGGAGGTGGAAACATCATGCTTTGGGGCTGTTTTTCTGCAAAGGGACCAGGACGACTGATCCGTGTAAAAGAAAGAATGAATGAATGGGGCCATGTATCGTGAGATTTTGAGTGAAAACCTCCTTCCATCAGCAAGGGCATTGAAGATGAAACGTGGCTGGGTCTTTCAGCATGACAATGATCCCAAACACACTGCCCGGGCAACGAAGGAGTGGCTTCGTAAGAAGCATTTCAAGGTCCTGGAGTGGCCTAGCCAGTCTCCAGATCTCAACCCCATAGAAAATCTTTGGAGGGAGTTGAAAGTCTGTGTTGCCCAGCGACAGCCCCAAAACATCACTGCTCTAGAGGAGATCTGCATGGAGGAATGGGCCAAAATACCAGCAACAGTGTGTGAAAACCTTGTGAAGACTTACAGAAAACGTTTGACCTGTGTCATTGCCAACAAAGGGAATATAACAAAGTATTGAGAAACTTTTGTTATTGACCAAATACTTATTTTCCACCATAATTTGCAAATAAATTCATAAAAAATCCTACAATGTGATTTTCTGGATTTCTTTTCCTCATTTTGTCTGTCATAGTTGACGTGTACCTATGATAAAAATTACAGGCCTCTCTCATCTTTTTAAGTGGGAGAACTTGCACAATTGGTGTCTGACTAAATACTTTTTTCCCCACTGTATGTAATCAAAACAAGCACTTATTGCACATAAAGGCTTCATAATTCATAAAGGTCATGTTAACTGACTGATATTATCGCATAGAACAAAACATATAAGATCTCCTATGCCTGTGTTAACCTCAGACCTTATATTTATAATTTATCCCAAAACCTAATTCTTTCCCCATTAATTTCCCCCATAGGAATGGCTGAACGAATCAGAGGTAACTCATTTCCCGTTTTTAGGACTACAAACTGGCGAGCTGTAATATTATATAGGCTGTGGGGCTCTACAGGCTTCTGTGTGCTAGGGGGTGTATGTGTGAAACCCTTACCCATGAACCCTAGAACAAGCAAGGGCGAGGGGCAGGCTCTCCATTCTGTGGTCATGCAGGAGAGAAAAGTGGCAGAGAGAGTGACCGAGAGAAGAAAGGCTGGTGCAGAGAGAGTGATTAAGTAGGGAAGCAAGACATCAACCCCTAGCCCCTACAAGGGAGTTGATAGCTGCAAAAGTTTGCAAGAAAAGAGTGATGAGACAGAGGCAGGAGAGAAGTAGAGACCGGGAACAACAGAAACACAGCTTCTTAGAATTAAGCGAGAGACATGATTGATTGAGGGAAGCTCGCTATTTTGACAAACCAAAATAGCTCATGGGGTGTGTCAGAAATATTGTTGCTATTTTCCCGGCGGGACGAAATACTTGGAGTTGTTGTAAAAGGGCTGGCTTTTGATGAATGAATAAGTTGTAGGTGTGGCGAGGGCTTGACCACTCAATAGCTAATTTGTGGTGGCTTCAAGTCATGCACAGTCTTTGACGTTGTGTGTTGTCATGAACTCTAATTCAGTGGGAGGGCATGAATGTTCGTCTTAGTCGATTGTGATTTGTGGAGTACAGTTTAAAAAAAAAAAAACAACAGTGACCTTATAGGCCCTAATAGCAATCGCAAAAATTTATCTAGTTTTTTTCTAAATATGATGGAAATGTATGCAGTCTACATTGTAAGTAGGTAATTGGCTTCAATATGGAATCTTTATCTTACACAGCACTTTCGTAAGCAGAAAATACCTTATATAGGCTACATTAGGCTAAATTGCATTGCATCATGTGCGAGCCATGCATGGACATGCCAAATGTTCAATAAGCAAGATTACATTTGCAGTTAGGTTGATATAGCATTACGAACGATAATAATTTACATAAGCTTGGTTTTTAATAAAATGAAATTAAAATAAGCAGACTATTTTTTATATAAACAACTTCAATGTTTCTAGGTAGGATCAACTCACATGGTGTTGTAAATCACATATCTTGTTCCATGGGCATACGGGCAATTTAGGCTAGGCAATGTGCCACCACTGACAAAGTCACTACCATAAACAACTGAAACTTGCCAAATCTGTTAGTAGCAGAAAATAATTTGCCGACTGCTGCAGCTGGACCAAAACAATCAAAATTAACACTTGAGTTTGATAATACCAAGCCCTTACGCTCAGTCGAAAGTAGTGGCCTTTAAAATGCCAGTAGAGCACAGGGGTGGAGGCTCAATGTCACAGAGAGCATATGCCAGGTCAAAAAGAAAAATACAGAGGATCAGAGTGTTTTCAACTCCTAGAGATTATGCAGGTTTGTCGATGTGTGTTTGGTCGTGCATTCAAACCCACATATTGCGTCAATCAGGCAGTGAAACAGATCAAGTGTATTATTAGTTGGGTAATCTATAGAAGAAGCGAGGGGATCAGAGATCAGAGGAGCTATTCCAATACTTGGTCAATCAGTGTAAGCCTCATTATTGCTCAGAAACAGCTGGTGCTTTCACAATAATTGTTTCCACTGTATTTCCACAACTCCTCACAAAATAATACAATATAAAAGGCATATGTGCAGTATAGTAAGAGAAATAAACCTCTACAAGTCTGACATGAGCATGCAGTGTGTACGTCGTGTTTCCCAGTCTTTAAAGTGGATTAAGTGATGCATGTTATGGCATTTCAAAGAAGAAACTCAGTCTCCGGAAAGAAAAAAAGAGAGAAATTAGGATCTGCAATCCCACCGCCAGGCGCCAACACACCACACATTTGTCCTCAACATTTAGCCCGACTCACAGAGTTAACAAGTGAACCCCTGGCAATACATTCCAGAGGAGAAGGTTAGGAGAGATAACACTAGATGGGAGAATGCACCCTGAATGGGTTTTCTGAACAGATCTACCAGTAAGAACATGGATGATCAGTATGCTACTATAGCTACGTTTACACAGGCAGCCCAATTCTAATTCTATTGGCAAAGGAGCTAATCTGATTGGTCAAAAGACCAATTAGTGGAAAAATATCAGAATTATAGGCTGCCTATCTGAAACTATATATTTGTTATTCATTATCTCCAATTCATTATCTCCATCTTATGTCAATGGCTATTTAGAAGCTAGGTATTACTTGAAGAGCCTATCAATTTATCTATTTCAGCTCTCATTTTGACAAACTTAGTGACAGGCTGGGCTCCTTACTACAATAACCCATATGGAGCTGCTGTGAAGAGGACAATTTGACAGATTGCATTGGCTAAAATGACATTGCACCCATCCACAGTAGTGGCAGGTGTTTTCAGTGCTGGTTAGTAGTGGCTACTCTGCATCACATGGGTTAGTGCTATACATCGGTGATGGATGGAGATGAGCTATCCTTTGTAATCCTTATATCATACAGTACATACACTGAGTGTACAAAACATTAGGAACTCTTTCCATGACAAGGTGAATACAGGTGAAAGCTATGATCCCTTATTGATGTCACCTGAGACAATTGAGACATGGATTCTGTATGTGTGCCATTCAGAGGGTGAATGGGCAAGACAAAAGATTGAAGTGCCTTTGAACAGGGTATGCCAGGCGCACCGGTTTGAGTGTGTGAAGAACTGCAATGCTGCTGGGTTTTTCATGCTCAACAGTTTCCCGTGTGCATCAAGAATGGTCCACCACCCAAAGGACATCCAGCCAACTTGACACAACTGTGGGAAGCATTGGAGTCAACATGGGCCAGCATCCCTGTGGAACACTTGACACCTTGTAGAGTCCATGCCCCAACGAATTGAGGCTTTTCTGAGGGCAAAAGGGGATGCAACTCAATATTAGGAAGGTGTTCCTAATGTTTTGTACTCTCAGTGTATATTCAATAAGGATTCAATCTATTCTGATGGGGACTACTCAGTATTATGATAAAACTTAACTGAGGTAGAGAGGTCATGTGATTGGCTAACATTATTGGTAGAGATATAAAGGAGTACTCACTCTGCATGGGGGAAAAGAAGACCTCTGACATGGGAGCATTCTTGGTCCATTTGTACTGAGGGATGGGTTTGCCCGAGCTGGACTTACAGCTCAGTGTCACGTTGCCGTTCAACACAGATGACCCAGTCATCGTGCACACAGGAGGCAAGGGAGGGACTCAGAGAGTAAGAGAGAACACACAGTTAGAAACAGAAGAGCTATGAGAGAAACAAATAAAATGATTTGTTCTACTACAATTGACCCCCAATTGACCTCCTGAAGTATCGTATTAATCCATTTCAATTGAACAGGGTACTGTATTTCCAAGAATGCTGGCCACACTGCACAAGGTAAAGGAAATGTGCCAACACTCACTCTGTTGAAGCTGTAGGAAAATATTATAGAGACAGCCCAGTGCATATGTACAAACTGCAGTATAGTTTACACTTTTGTGACTCCATCTCTGAGGGTTGGCCCAAAAAAAAAGTATTTTTGAAAAGTGCCAGAATCAAGGCGTCCGGTCCGGTTGGTACCTTTGACATTAAGGCGCATTTCTCCAGAGAGTCCGGGGGCTCCAGGGATGATGACATTGCAGAGGTATCGTCCTGAGTCTGACTCCTGGGTGTTGTTGATGTAGATGGAGAGATTGGCCGAGGGCATGGACAGGCTGAACCCAACACGCTTCCTGAACTCATGACTACCTATCCCTGGCTCACCGTTACTGTAGGAGATTACCTGCACAGACAGACAGGGGAAATACTTTACAATAGGGAATGCAACGGTAGATTGTGTTCCCTACTGCAATTCAGGAACCAAATGTACTGTCAGCAATGATATGATTTTACCCGGATGAGCACTCTATTCCATAGAAGCCTTCAAGTAGCGCCGGTCTACTGTATCTAAACTCTACATATTGTTAGCCTTTTTCAAGCCAACATTTGTGTTGCTTGTCAAGGAGAGAGACTAGCATTTTTGCAACACTGCACGAGAGGATTTGTTGTAATGAAAACCAATGCAAGTAACTACAGAAATACCGGTTCTCCAAATATACAATACTGATATTGAGCTGAAATACGATTTTCGGTGCTATCTATAGACAGTTTACATAGCCACACAAATGTACCATATAACAGAAGTCAAAGTCCTTCATAAAGATAATCCTGATATGTATGTGCAGATGGTGGAGTTTGAATTGTTTGACTGATTTTCTGTTAGAGATAAGCTCACAGGCCATGCATGGCCAGTGAAACTACTGAGATTATCGTAATCACAGAAGAAGCCACGCACACACACATCCAGAGGTTTTTATAAACAAACAGGACATACATGCAACACACCCACACCGTTAGTGACATATGGTTACCACCACAGGAGGTTGGTGGCACCTTAATTGGGGAGGACGGGCTCGTGGTAATGGCTAGAACACATGGTTTGATGCCATTCCATTGGCTCCGTTCCAGACTTTATTATGGAGCCGTTCTCCCCTCAGCAGAGCTCCACTGGTTACCACATATTTTGTCTGTATCTATAAAACTAAAGAGCCATCAGGATGGTTGTTGAGAATAATCCTAATACACAGTCTCACAAAACTACATGCTTAGGCTAAACTATAAAGGTGGAGATAAACTAACCTCGTCCCCAGACTCAAATTTCTGGCACATAGAGCCTGGTAACACTGTGCCACAAAGTGGGACTTGAAAGGGGTGTGGTTAAAGCTCTATTAGATAGGACTATAAAATAGCCTTTTCAAAATTAATGTTCTATCACATTGACCATATTATTTTTGGGAAGCCCAATTGATTCGGAGTTTGGGCATATAACGTTTATATGTGAAAACTATTTCTAAGATGCGTACTTTCAGATTTTTCGATTGTTTAAATCACTTAAGCTGCTCGCGCTTTGAATTCCATAACGTAGAGGGAGGTTCTATGGGTTCTGCTAGATGGTGATGGACTGAGGTGCTGTGAAACCAGACGGTTCGACAGAGAGAGAGCCGGCTGGTGGACGAGATTAGAGGCAAACCAACCAACTCTGAACTATTAATCTTCTTTATTAAAAAATGTTTTATGTTGTGTGAAAACTCAAATTTAATCACAAAATAAAAATATTAATCTTCTGACAGCTTTCAACTATGTAGTCTACAACCAGTGCATTGTTCCGTGTTGAGCTGTTCAGCTTGACATATTCTAGTATGTGAAGTGAAGTAGCTTATTTTGTTGTCTGTAATGTGTATAACAGTTGCTCTATGTATGTACAGTGCCTATAGAAAGTCTACACCCACTTGAGCTTTTTTCACATTTTGCTGCCTTAAAATGAAATTTAAAAAGTAAATGAATTTGCTTATTTTTTTTATATATTTTTTTTAGATCTACACAACCTACTCCACATTTTCAAAGTGAAAGAAAGTTATAGAACATTCAAGAAAACCCCCCCCAAAAAACCTGAAACATCATCATTGGATAAGGCTCCACTCCCCTGGTGGAAGCACCTTTGGCAGCCATTACAGCTGTGAATCATTTTCAGTCCCGTGTAGCTCAGTTGGTAGAGCATGCCGTTTTGCAACGCCAGGGTTGTGGGTTTGATTCCCACGGGGGGCCAGTATGAAAATGTATACACTCACTAACTGTAAGTCGCTCTGGATAAGAGTGTCTGCTAAATGACTAAAATGTAAAATGTAACTAAGACTCTACCAACTTTGCACAACTCTTAGGGCAAAATATATCCATTGTTTTAGTCAAAATTGCTCAGGCTCAGTACATTTGGTTGGGGATCATTGATAGACAGTGATATTTCAACCTTGTCTCTGGGTTTAAGCAGATTTAAGTCAGGACTGAGACTAGACCACCCAGGAAAACTCAACATCTCTTGGCAAGTCATTCTGTTGTGTCTTTGGCATAAACATTTGTGTCATTGTCTCGCTGAAAAACAAAAAACTATCCCATGGTTAGGTTTTCAGAAGACTGAGGTGGGTTTTCCTTTAACTCTTTACCTGGGCTTTGCTCCTTTCATATTTATTTTGATCCTGACAAACTCTCCAGTCCCTGCCGATGACAAGCATACCCATAACATGATGCTGCCACCACAATAGTTGAAAATAGAGAGGGTTTCACTATGTGTTGTGTTGTATTGGATTTGACCCAACCCTGTAGTTTTTAATTTAGGCCAAAAAGTAAATGTATTTGCCGTGTTGTCTTGCAGTATTACTTAACAGCCTTGTTGCAAAAATAATGGATGATTTGGAGTGGATTTTTTAAACACAGGTTTCTTTCTTTTCACTGTATTGTGGTGGCAGCATCATGTTATGAGTATGCTTGTCACCGGCAGAGACAAGGTTTATAATATAAGTTATATATTATATCACTGTCCATCAATGATCCAACCAAATTTACTGAGCCATTTTGACTAAAACAATGGATATATGTCACCCTAAGAGTTGTGCAAATTTGATCCCCTGCTGATTTTGTACGTTTGCCCACTGACAAATAAATGATCAGTCTATAATTTTTATGGTAGGTTTATTTGAACAGTGAGAGACAGAATAATAACAAAAATATCCAGAAAAACGCATGTAATTTTTTTTTGAAATTGATTTGCATTTTAATGAGGGAAATAAGGATTTGACCCCGCTGCAAAACATGACTTAGTACTTGGTGGCAAAACCCTTGTAGCTGGCCACCAGGTTTGCAGATCTTCTCCAAGTCATTAGGGTTTCGAGGCTGACGTTTGGCAACTCGAACCTTCAGCTCCCTCCACAGATTTTCTATGGGATTAAGGTCTGGAGACTGGCTAGGCCACTCCAGGACCTTAATGTGCTTCTTCTTGAGCCACTCCTTTGTTGCCTTGGCCGGGTGTTTTGGGTCATTGTCATGCTGGAATACCCATCCACGACCCATTTTCAATTCCCTGGCTGAGGGAAGGAGGTTCTCACCCAAGATTTGACGGTACATGGCCCGTCCATCGTCCCTTTGATGCGGTGAAGTTGTCCTGTCCCCTTAGCAGAAAAACACCCCCAAAGCATAATGTTTCCACCTCCATGTTTGACGGTGGGGATGGTGTTCTTGGGGTCATAGGCAGCATTTCTCCTCCTCCAAACACGGCGAGTTGAGTTGATGCCAAAGAGCTCAATTTTGGTCTCATCTGACCACAACACTTTCACCCAGTTCTCCTCTGAATCATTCAGATGTTCATTGGCAAACTTCAGACGGGCATGTATATGTGCTTTCTTGAGCAGGGGGACCTTGCGGGCGCTGCAGGATTTCAGTCCTGTGACTATGGTCACAGCTGCCTTGAGATCATTGACAAGATCCTCCCGTGTAGTTCTGGGCTGATTCCTCACCGTTCTCATTATCATTGCAACTCCACGAGGTGAGGATTTGCATGGAGCCCCAGGCCGAGGGAGATTGACAGTTCTTTTGTGTTTCTTCCATTTGCGAATAATTGCACCAACTGTTGTCACCTTCTCACCAAGCTGCTTGGCAATGGTCTTGTAGCCCATTCCAGCCTTGTGTAGGTCTACAATCTTGTCCCTGACATCCTTGGAGAGCTCTTTGGTCTTGGCCATGGTGGAGAGTTTGGAATCTGATTGATTGCTTCTGTGGACAGGTGTCTTTTATACAGGTGGTAACAAACTGAGATTAAGAGCACTCCCTTTAAGAGTGTGCTCCTAATCTCAGCTCGTTACCTGTATAAAAGACACCTGGGAGCCAGAAATCTTTCTGATTGAGAGGGGGTCAAATACTTATTTCCCTCATTAAAATGCATATCAATTTATAACATTTTTGACGTGTTTTTCTGGATTTTTTTGTTGTTATTCTGTCTCTCACTGTTAAAATAAACCTACCATTACAATTATAGACTGATCATTTCTTTGTCAGTGGGCAAACGTACAAAATCAGCAGGGGATCAAATACTTTCCCCCCTCACTGTAATGGCTGCCAAAGGTGCTTCCACCAAGTATTAACTCAGGGTGGTGGAGACTTATCCAATTATGATATTTCAGTGGGGGTTTTTCTTAATTTGAAAAATGTTCTATAACTTTCTTTCACTTTGAAAATGTGGAGTATGTTGTCTGGATGTATAGGAAAGACATCTAATTGAATCCCTTTTTAGATTTTAGAAGGTAGCAAAATGTGAAAAAAGTTCAAGGGGGTGTATACTTTCTATAGGCACTGTACATGCCATTAAGATTAAGATGACTTTATAGTCCTCCAAAAGACAGACATACAGGTTTTGGAGCGGTGCAGGGAGCTGCCACACTGGGCACCTGTTGTCGTAGGGGGTTAAATGCCTTGCTCAAGGGCACAACGGCAGGCAATTGCATCCAGGATTTGATACCAGCAACTCTCTGGTTGCCAGCTCACTTCCCGCCAGCCTTTTCCAGTCGGACAACCTTCCGGTTGCTGGCTCGCATCTCTAACCACTAGGCTACCTGCCGCATGGCTGAATAGCTTAAATGCCTGTGAGATGTGGCCAGATCTGGGATTACTAGAAGGAGATTGGATTAATGAGAATGGGAGGTTGGTCCTGTACTTCGGAGAACAAACTAAAACCCGAACCACTCCCAGCCCTGAAATAATCAAATAGCTTCTTCAACAGTTCATCAACAGTTTCTTCAACATTAGTCTGTTCCTTCAGACCACACACCAACTAATCACCAACTAGAGGGACATAACACTTCAGGGAAAAGTTCATGAGAAAAGATCCAGCAACAGTCGTTTCTGTGGAAACCATGCATGATGTCTGAGGAAGAGGAGATGGCTTACATACCTGCTTGGAGTCGTTGGCCATGAAGTTCCAGATGACGCTGTTCCTGCCGATATCAGATGTGGGGCTGTACCAGGCCTGCAGGACCACCATCTGACCCTTCACCACCTCCATCTCTCTCCTGGGCATCTCCACCCGCTGGGAGTCACCTGGACACAGCAAACACAGAGATACAGTCACTAAAACTCACCTGATACAGCACCAATGCACAGCCGGTTCCAATACACTCCCTACCCCTAACCCCTTCACGCTAACCCTTCAGTGTTTGCCGATGTGAAGGCTCTGGATAGGTATAAGCGATTTAGTGGTGAAGCTTCCACCATATTGCTTCCACAGACCTGCCAACATTGAAGGGTTATAGGAAGGGGTAGGGAGCGAATTGCAGTCAACAAAACTCTTCCAATCTAGTCAGTTCAGTTTTATATACAAGTATGATGTCAATTGCCACTAGGGCTGTGACGGTCATGGAATTTTGGATGACGGTTATTGTCAGCCAAATAACTGTGGTCACTGTACTAACAGTTCGAAAAAAGAATCTCCTCCGCTCCTGACTGCAGGTGCTACTGCTGCAGGGAGGGGGGCGTTGCCTAGACAACTGGTGACTCGATTGCTATAACACTTTGCTTGTTTTCAGCAAGGAGCAACAAAGTTTCATCACGTTGTATGCCTGGCCGTCTCGTCTTCAGTCAGCTGTTCATTCCACAATAAAAATACATTTTATTTTCATGATGGTCTTCATCGGGTAATTATGCCAGTCCTACTTGTCACAGCATGCTTCACATGAAAGTCAAGAGGTCAGGAGCAAAAACCACAGTTAGGTCTTCCTTGACCTCTGCATAGCCCTCTCTTGCAATCTGTTTGTATTCACCCATCATAATTCAACACTGCTACTGGTAATCACCCTAACACTACAAACACTGGCCAGACGTAAACCTGCAAAGCCCAGATGAGATCAATGGAAGGGGAAAATGGAGCGCATTAGAAAAAAGTAGAATAATGACAGTGCCTTGATTAATAGTGGATAAAGATCTGTCATCCCCTACAGCTGATTGAGAGGGCTTTTACGTAACCTAGGCAACATTCAGCTGGACTCGGCTCCACAAAGGTTCTGACAGACCAAAATGGAGATGACAGATCTCACAAATCAATAATTTACCCACATTTGGGATGTTGTACTTGGTTACCAGAGTTCTGTTTGTTCCTACTGTATGTGTAGTCAGACAACCCTGAATTGTTTGCAGTAAACTTGAACTGTAACATAGTTATATTGACTTTTCAGAAAAAAATACATTCATAAGCTTACCTCGAGCGTTTGAGCCATTTGGGATATCCCAAAAAACATAAGCTAAAGTCAAACATTTGAGTTGATTGAACTTTCTAAAGAGACATTTGCTAATGTCAAGCATTAGAAATTATTGGAATATCTGGATATGCATAAAATAATCTCAAGCATTTAGTTGATTGAACTGTCTAGTTCACATTTAATGACCAGGTCTAGCCCATATCTCCTACAAAATATCAAGACTATATGCCAAGAGATAACCCATATAACTACACTTCATAAAGACATAAGGCAGAGCAATAAAACCTAAAGTATCATCCAGCAGCCTACAACCAAAGCATTGAAAAGAGGTAGAGGAAGAAGAGGCAGGTGATAAAATAAAGGTGGAAAGGAGAAGTAGAGGAGCATGGAGAGTTGGAATGAGAAAGATCGGATGATGAGAATTGAATTAATGGAATGAGAGAGATAAGAGAAGGAGAAAAAAAAAGAGGAGAGAGATTGAACTAGAGTATGGTGGTGGGCAGGCTCACTCACAGGGTGCCGGCCAGTCTGCTGAGCTGGTCAGCTGAAGATGGATCATCTGATCCCAGCAATCGTAGTCCTCGCCCTCTGCCAGCTTGGCGCTAGGTCCCACGCACACACCCAGAATAACCCCGCTCCACACACACACAGACAACCCCCTCAGCGTGACGAGGGTCTCAAATCCCTAGTCCGCAAAAACACTAACCCTATAAGGGGAGGGTCTTAACCCCCAGTCCCCATAAACGCAAATGCAAATGCAAACACACACACACACATTCAGCAAGACGGTCAAATCCGTACACACACATACATCTAGCTAGGCTAGGGGCTGCTCAACAGCTGCAGTGTGACTGCACACCGGTTACTTTCTTTCTGGAATTAAAGTGTATTCAGCTGGGCGAATTAGAGCGAGAACGAGAGAGTGACAGAGACAGAGCGCAACTGGGCATCTGTCTGGCGTCAGGGCTGGCAGGTTGTTCTGGGCTTATAATTGCAGTGACTCTATGCTTTCTTATTGCCCCTGGTATCATGTGACCCCATTGCTATGGTGTCCCTTGTTTAATTCCTGCAGTGAAGCTCCTATTGACTAATCCCTAAACAATCCCTGGCTCAATCCTTCAACCCTGACTCTGACTCTTACTTCACGTGACCCAAGTACAGCAGCTCGGCTGGACACAGTTGAGGTAGGCTAACACATGGTTACTTTGACAATTGTCTACGCTGCTAGCTGTTGCTATGACTGGATTCTCATTCTCATATTTGCAGCTTTGGTTATATTCAAATCACTTCTGTTTTCTCATCTCAGACAAGTCTCTTCACCTGCATAGGTTTTCTAAACATATACACTGCTCAAAAAAATAAAGGGAACACTAAAATAACACATCCTAGATCTGAATGAATGAAATAATCTTATTAAATACTTTTTTTCTTACATAGTTTAATGTGCTGACAACAAAATCTGGCGAGCACATGGAGGGCTGTGCGGCCCCCCAAAGAAATGCCACCCCACACCATGACTGACCCACCGCCAAACCGGTCATACTGGAGGATGTTGCAGGCAGCAGAACGTTCTACACAGCGTCTCCAGACTCTGTCACGTCTGTCACATGTGCTCAGTGTGAACCTGCTTTCATCTGTGAAGAGCACAGGGCGCCAGTGGCGAATTTGCCAATCTTGGTGTTCTCTGGCAAATGCCAAACGTCCTGCACGGTGTTGGGCTGTAAGCACAACCCCCACCTGTGGACGTTGGGCCCTCATACCACCCTCATGGAGTCTGTTTCCGACCGTTTGAGCAGGCACATGCACATTTGTGGCCTGCTGGAGGTCATTTTGCAGGGCTCTGGCAGTGCTCCTCCTGCTCCTCCTTGCACAAAGCCGGAGGTAGCAGTCCTGCTGCTGGGTTGTTGCCCTCCTACGGCCTCCTCCACGTCTCCTGATGTACTGGCCTGTATCCTGGTAGCGCCTCCATGCTCTGGACACCGCTGACAGACACAGCAAACCTTCTTGCCACAGCTCGCATTGATGTGCCATCCTGGATGAGCTGCACTACCTGAGCCACTTGTGTGGGTTGTAGACTCCGTCTCATGCTACCACTAGAGTGAAAGCACCGCCAGCATTCAAAAGTGACCAAAACATCAGCCAGGAAGCATAGGAACTAAGAAGTAGTCTGTGGTCACCACCTGCAAAACCAGTCCTTTATTGGGGGTGTCTTGCTAATTGCCTATAATTTCCACCTGTTGTCTATTCCATTTGCACAACAGCATGTGAAATGTATTGTCAATCAGTGTTGCTTCCTAAGTGGACAGTTTGATTTCACAGAAGTGTGATTGACTTGGAGTTACATTGTGTTGTTTAAGTGTACTAACAGAAACGGATAGGCCTAAATACAACTACTTGATTAATGTCCTGAACTTGCATTGAACTTACAAGTTTATTAGAGATTGTTGTTCCACAGAAATTCCAAAGGCAAATGAGAACCAATGCGCCAATGGAGAATGCAACGTCCACTCTTTCGCCAATTAAAGTCCAACTTGCAAAAACAGTAATCACAGCTGATGCAGTCAGACTGACTGAAGTAAGTGGATGATCCATGAGTTTAATGCATCATCATTGTATCAGCCATTGTGTTATTCCACAAAATAATAAACCTTGGATTGTTTTTTCTGATTTTGCTTGCACTTTGTCTCTCTAATCCTGTTAGGGATAAAAACTCATTTTTCTGCTTGAGATGGAGGATTTAAAAGGTGAGGGGGGTGGGCTGTTCCATTAGTGGGAAGTCATCTTTACTGAGAAATGATGAGTGTGTTCGAAAAGAGCAGTGCCACACTTTTATCTAGAACCTAAAAGGGTTCTTCGGCTGTCCCCATAGGAGAACCCTTTTAAGAGCCCTTTTTGGTTCCATGTAGAACCCTTTTGCATTCTAGGTAGAACAATTTCCCCAGAGGACTCTACATGGAACCCCCCAAAAAAAAATTCTAAGAGTATATAGGAATATGAGGAATATTACATTTTTACATTTACGTCATTTTAGCAGACGCTCTTATCCATATATATATAACTGTTCTTCCTCCTATGGGAAAATAGATGTAGGATGTGATTAGATTATGATGGATTGTGTCACTATGGAAAAAGTAATTTAGAGTGATATTTTATTACCCTGAATTTTTAGCATCATAGTCTACATACCTATTGGAACAATTCTATACAACTATGTGCAGCTAAGTCTAAGCCCTATAGACTTTTGGGGGATAATAATAATAATAATAATAATAATAATAATAATACAAGCCTCTGCCTCTAACCCTAGGAAGCTCTTTGCCACCTTCTCCTCCCTGCTGAATCCTCCGCCTCCTCCCCCTCCCTCCTCCCTCTCTGTGGATGACTTCGTCAACCATTTTGAAAAGAAGGTTGATGACATCCGATTCTCATTTATTAAGTCAAATGACACCGCTGGTCCTGCTCACACTGCCCTACCCTATGCTTTGACTTCTTTCTCCCCTCTCTCTCCAGATGAAATCTTGCGACTTGTGACGGCCGGCCGCCCAACAACCTGCCCGCTTGACCCTATCCCCTCCTCTCTTCTCCAGACCATTTCCGGAGACCTTCTCCCTTACCTCACCTCGCTCATCAACTCATCCTTGACCGCCGGTCATGTCCCTTCCGTCTTCAAGAGAGCGAGAGTTGCACCCCTCCTCAAAAAACCTACACTCGATCCCTCTGGTGTCAACAACTACAGATCAGTATCCCTTCTTTCTTTTCTCTCCAAAACTCTTGAGCGTGCCGTCTCTAGCCAACTCTCCTGCTATCTCTCTCAGAATGACCTTCTTGATCCAAACCAGTCAGGTTTCAAGACTGGTCATTCAACTGAGACTGCTCTTCTCTGTGTCACGGAGGCTCTCCGCACTGGTAAAGCTAACTCTCTCTCCTCTGCTCTTATCCTTCTAGACCTATCCGCTGCCTTTGATACTGTGAACCATCAGATCCTCCTCTCCACCCTCTCCGAGATGGGCATCTCCAGCGCTGCTCACTCTTGGATTGCGTCCTACCTGACAGGTCGCTCCTACCAGGTGGCATGGCGAGAATCTGTCTCCGCACCACGTGCTCTCACCACTGGTGTCCCACAGGGCTCAGTTCTAGGCCCTCTCCTATTCTCTCTATACACCAAGTCACTTGGCTCTGTCATATCCTCACATGGTCTCTCCTATCATTGCTACGCAGACGACACACAATTAATTTTCTCCTTTCCCCCTTCTGATAACCAGGTGGCGAATCGCATCTCTGCATGTCTGGCAGACATATCAGTGTGGATGTCGGATCACCACCTCAAGCTGAACCCCGGCAAGACGGAGCTGCTCTTCCTCCCGGGGAAGGACTGCCCTCTCCATGATCTCGCCATCACGGTTGACAACTCCATTGTGTCCTCCTCCCAGAGAACCTTGGCGTGACCCTGGACGACACCCTGTTGTTCTCCGCTAACATCAAAGCGGTGACCCGATCCTGCAGGTTCATGCTCTACAACATTCACAGAGTACGACCCTACCTTACACAGAAAGCGGCACAGGTCCTAATCCAGGCACTTGTCATCTCCCGTCCGGATTACTGCAACTCGCTGTTGGCTGGGCTCCCTGCCTGTGCCATCAAACCCCTACAATTTATCCAGAACGCTGCAGCCCGTCTGGTGTTCAACCTTCCCAAGTTCTCTCATGTCACCCCGCTCCTCCGCACACTCCACTGGCTTCCAGTTGAGGCTCGCATCTACTACAAGACCATGGTGCTTGCCTACAGAGCTGTGAGGGGAACGGCACCTCCTTACTTTCAGGCTCTGATCAGACCCTACACCCAAACGAGGGCACTACGTTCATCCACTTTTGACCTGCTAGCTCCCCTACCTCTACGGAAGCACAGTTCCCGCTCAGCCCAGTCAAAGCTATTCGCTGCTCTGGCACCCCAATGGTGGAACAAGCTCCCCCACGACGATAGGACAGCGGAGTCCCTGACCACCTTCCGGAGACACTTGAAACCCTACCTCTTTAAGGAATACCTGGAATAGTATAAAGTAATCCTTCTTCCCCCACCCCCACAAAAAACTAAAATAAAAAATTGGTTGTCCCGCTGGCTATCATAAGTTGAATGCACCAATTTGTAAGTCGCTCTGGATAAGAGCGTCTGCTAAATTATGTAAATGTATCCTAATGCGAATGAGTATTGGACTGTGTTGTAGATTAGAATGATGATGAATGGGAATGGTTATTTTAAATGATACACCTTAATGCACGATAATGCTCTATATTCCCTTGACTATTCTTACCGCTTCTTCTTGGTCTAGGTTTATCCTCTGAACTGTGTCATTCAAATTGTTTATTAAATGAAGGAAAATCTTCCCTAATTACCGGCTCTGTCTCCACTCTCGATCTGGGTTGTATGTTGCTGCAGACAGATGAGACACACTGGAAGGTGTGGATATGTGTATCATCATGAATCTAAATCTATCAACAGATAAACCCTTGAAAAGCTGTCACTGCAGAACAGAATGTAGGCAGGGCATAACTGTCAACTGGCTGGTTTAATAACTACCATGTTATTACATTAACAATGTGGGTATGTTAAAAAAATAAAAATAACAAAAATAATAATAGATTAATCTTGCCTATGAAATACAACTAGACTCATCTGTTCCCCAAAAATGTATGACAGACAGTCATTAGTATGGTGGGCCTTTTTGGAGAGTTCTAAAATCGATGGAAAAAATATCTCAGCAAATACTGTAATGGTCATGCCAAACTGGTGGCCTGATCCATCAGGATGGTCAAACAAGGCTACCAAGCTGGTGCTCAAACAAGAGCACACTGAGAACATGTCAGTTACCATGAGCAGCCAAGAGGGGGCAGCAAATCTTCATGAGAATCACCAACTAAGTAACAGACTAGAATCACATGGATGTAGTGGAGTAATTTGATATCAGTGGCCAATGTTTAGTAGCCTGATGACTCATACTGAATTTAATTCCACTGCTCTACATATCGCCAGACTGCCATCGTAGAAGTCATTTTCTGCTGTCAAAGTGAGGGGAGTTGTACAAAACAAGTCATCAGCGATTGGATCGTCTCTAACCAATTAGAGTATCAAAGCCAATGACTACTTCCCAAATGCAGCTCTACCCATGTGTGTTCAGGGTCTGGCCCAACCCATCTGTTTCAGGGACCAATCAAAACGGTTTGAATGTGTTTGCGTTCAAGAAGTTGTCGGGGAGGAGATCAAATCCAGACTCATGGTGGAGAAGAAATGTTAGTGGGCGTGGCGTTTGGCCGGAGCCATGTGGATGGGTAGCCAGGCAAAATGTTTAGTGCCTCCATCTTTAGATAATAATAATATAATATGCCATTTAGCAGACGCTTTTATCCAAAGCGACTTACAGTCATGCGTGCATACATTTTTGTGTATGGGTGGTCCCGGGGATCGAACCCACTACCTTGGCGTTACAAGCGCCGTGCTCTACCAGTTGAGCTACAGAGGACCACATAGATGATCAATAACCCATAATAATCCTTGATAGTAATTCAATTATATCCAAGCAAGTATGTTAAAATATAGGCTTAACACCTGAAATCCACAATGAAAAACAACAAACAAATATTCCCTACATTTTAAACACCACCAGTACAACATAGGCTCCTTGAAAAATAAAAATTGCTTATAAAACAATGAAATTATTCCAGTCCCCTGCTGAAACACACAACCATTCCCACCCTCCAGCCTTCAAGCCTCGTGGCCGAAGATAAACCAACTCTCATTAAACAGAACCACTCTTGTCTTTCACTATAATCTCTCTTTTCACCATAGTCTTGATCTCCCGAGGGTCCTGTGTTCAAACTACAGCACATCCCCCACTATCTCTCTCTCCTTTCCTGTGCCGACTGAGACAGCCTTCAAATGAACCACTAATCTGAAGCTGCTGGTGAAAGTTGCAGCACCACGCTCCGGAGGGGCTAAAGGTCTTCACAGAAGAGAGGGAAGGATTCACAGGGCACTGACTAGACGAGACTGACAGCACAGTGAGTGGCAGGGGGGCTACAGTATATAAATAGGCCGTGACCGATGTAACATCTCAGACTGAGTGGCATTCAACGATGGGAAAATATGAGGCTTCATTATGAAACGTGTCCTGACAGTACACAGTCCACAAAGCTAAGCCTGTGTTTGGCTATGTCAAAAGAGGATTAAGGTAAAGTGAGGATATGGAGGGTATATGAGGGGTGAGTTGGGTTCTGGATGGTGCGGAGGCAGTTAGTGATGTAGGACAATGAGATAGCCCTCTTTGTGGAAGACTGTGTGCATATACTGTATGTGGCTGACCCCTGGGGCTTCAAACAGATGGTGCTTAAATAATAAATATTTGGAGGAGGCTCCTTTAAATTGGATTACATTAGCGTAATCTCTGCAGCTATTTTAAACCATTTTGAGAATGCCATCAACACAGGAACTTTAATCCCTCTAAAGTTTTGATTGTGTTGAAATTGATTCTGCATGCAAACATGGGCGAGATCTCTATCGAGAAGAGGAAGAGAGAGAGGAGAGAGAGAAGAGAGGAGATGAAGAGGAAGAGAGAGAGAGGAGAGAGAAGAAGAGAGAGAGAGAGAGAGAGCAGAGAGAAGACGAGAGGAGAGAGAGAAGAGCGAGAGAGAGAGAGAGAGAAGAGAGAGAGAGAGAGAGAGAGAGTAGAGAGGAGGAGAGAGAGAGAGAGAGAGAGAGAGAGAGACGAGAGCAAGAGAGAGAGAGAGGAGCGAGTGAGCAGAGGAGATCGAGAGAGCGAGTAGACTGTGCGATCGTCTATCGAAGGAGATAGTAGCGTCGTCTCTCTCTCTATCTCTCCTTCTCCTTCTCTATCTTCTCTCTCTCTCTCTCTCTTCTCTCTCTCTCTCTCTCTCATCTCAATCACATTATTAATTTATCAATGGAGAAAAAAATATTTAACCAGCTAAGCTGATTTTAGATTCACTATTTTTCATATCTTTAACCGTGTACATTGGAGAGATTGGATACAGGCATTGAGGTTGTAGGAGAGGAAAAGGTAATGGAATACAGCATTACAGGGACATCACCAGGACCGGGCTTTTGGGTCAGCCCTGAATCTTTTGTGCTGCTGCGATGGTGTAGAATAATTGTAGTCAACTGAATGCGCTGCTTAGTTCATGGTTAGCGGTTGCGACAAATGGAGTCAATGGTTTCGGTTTTCTTCCTACAAATTTGGCTCCAACTTTTGAACGGTAGAGCTACCAGCCGCGTATGAGACGTTAGAAGGGACTGTGACAACACCACAATTCAAAGCAAAGCAGATCTTCTCTACACACACACACACACATAACTATTCCCTGATGTTTTCCTGAACTTTCCAATACTTTTCTGATGCATTTCAGTCACTTAACATATCATAGACTCCCATACATATAAAGGTGTGAAAAACATAGAAAGCAACTTTTTTGGAGTGGGTATCATATATACATTTGTTCATAAGAATGGGGAGAATAAGATAAGACTATTAAACCTTTGCCACCCCAAAGTGGACACATTATTCCGCTGGCCCACGTTGAAATAACCCTCTATGGCTTCAGAGACTATGAAGCTATGAAACCACATTGGGCTATTCTATATAGATGGCCATCAACCAGAGCAGTCCTTTTAAACACTAAATGAGACTGAAAGAGGACCACTCTCCAAATCTCACACTAGGACACAGTCCCCCTCCCTATATCAATCTCTGTGCCAGATTCACCATTCCCCACACACACAGGCAGATGGATTGGATTTGAATTATGCATTGTGGCTAATCCAAATAAGAGAGTGTTAGGCCCAGTCAACGTGAAGGAAAGGCGCTTCCCCTCGATCACTAATGACCATTACCTCATGACCGTTGAATCATCATTAACGACCAGATCGTGACCACTACAACGGTTAATATTCATATTTCCATTGATCACTGTCATAGACCATAAGCCATGACCTACTTACACTGATAAAAGAGAGTGAGTTGTAGAACATAGTGGATAGGGCTTGAATTAAGACAGTAATTAATAACAGTAGACAGTAATCCTTCATCCTTCACATATCAAGAGAGATCCTGTAGGCTGAAGACAGAGGTCAGTTTTGACTGATGGTATTCTACTATGGTGCCTTTTGGAGGGTCATTTGTCTGTTCCACTCTACAGGACTGAGGCTGTCCAACAGTCAGAACTCTGTGTTTGGACTAGGGCCCAGTGCAGTTCATGGGCCTCTGTAATCTTTGCACGATGCTGCTCCTGTTTGCTTAGTGCCTTGTCTTTTCATCTTTGTTTACATGAATATTTCTGCTTGGAAACAGACTGCCTGCATGCCTCTCTGTGTGTGCATCACTGAATGGACTGTCATACAGTCTTGGAAGCTTTGACATCTAACACGGAGCATTTATCACACTCTCCCAGCTGAGAAAGACATGAGACAGAGGAGAGGAAAGGGAGGCACACACACTGACCACAGAGGTGTAAAAGGATGGATATATTGAAGCTTTGATCAGTGTAGATTCCTCACCAGGGATAGGGCAGGGATATGAGGTGTTTTGATGTAAACAGATACACTACAATATGGCAGCCATGCCCTCTGATAGGAGCTTAACACCATTGTGACAACGACATTGAAGGCTGAGCTGAATAAATAATTATTCGCAATGGGAAAATGCATTGTGTGTGTGTGTGTGTGTGTGTGTGTGTGTTTGTGTGTGTGTGTTTGTGTATGCATTTGGGGCGACAGGTGGCCTAGCAGTTAGAGCATTGGTCCAGTAAGTGAAAGACTGCCAGTTTAAATCCCTGAGCCGAAAAGGTGAAACAAAATCTGTTGTTCTGCCATTGCGCAAGGCAGTTAACCCCCCATAACAGCTCCCTGGGTGCCCAATGTGGCAGCCCCCCGCACCTCTACGATTCAGAGGGGTTGGGTTGAAAGTCAGGTTTCGGTTGGACCTTGTGTGCAATTGACGATAAAAATAAATGTATTCCTTTAATGTGTATAAGCAAAAACAAAAACAGGTGCAGCTGTTTAACACCATAGTGTGCAAGTCAAGACTACTATTTTGATGGAGGTGGAGAGTTGTGTAGGGCTGGGCGATATGGCTAAAATACCATATCAAGTTACTTTAAAGAAAATTGACGGAAATTTATGTTTTGGAATAATAAAAAAGTTCTAAATTTGCTTTATGAGTAGTGTGTGACCCTAGGGTGGCAACACATACATTCTAAGTGATTTCAATGGGTCTTTCTCCATTCTGATTCATTTATACTGTTCAATTCAACTTCAACCAAAAATTATTGTCTGCATTTTCATAGATTTCAGGCATTTTCTGCACTCATTTGAAATCATTTTCACACTGCCACTTAGGGCTGCACAATATGGGCAAACAACGTAATCAAATGTTTTAATAAAATGTTGCAATTGCGATTTGACTTGCGATTTAGAGCAAAACACTTGGGTGAACTGTTGGAATCATGGAAATAGAATGATTATTCTAATTCTATAGTTAGAATATAATAGTGGACACTGAATACAGTGTTGTTTGACATGACAACGAATGAAAATGCCAGGGAGGCATTATTGTGACAGGGTAGAAACCAAAGTGTTGTGTTTCCTAGGGGACCCTATAATCTTTGGCTACATTGAATGTTCTCTTATTGACTTCATGTAGATAACATATTCCTCTGATTTAGACGATACGGTTGCACAAACAACATGCTGATTTAGGTCTACACCATCACTGGTATTATCAGGCTGTATAGCTAATTATGTTTGCGCTGACTCAGTACATTTATTAGCTATCTAGCGATTAGCAGTAGCGGCTAACAATTAGCAGCTAACAAGATTTAGGCCCAACTTGCTAGGAAAAGACAAACTAGCTGTTTGCAGATGTAAGAAACACAAACTAATATTGTAATTACAGAACTCTAGTGGATTTATATTAAGAATCAAAGTGAAAACAGCATCGTTGTTATCATAATTGTTACATGTGCTGCATTGACCATGCAGACTGAACGCAAGTGTCTCATGGTCGAGGAACAACAAATGCGCTCCTTGAGTGACAGGGCGGGGTTAGGTCTGTGTGGAAAGCGCATAGACAGATAGCGGAGAGAGATGACTCAAGTAGCGAAGTAAACTATGAAAAAATAGACATTACACACAGCGTTTCACATTTAACAAACCAAACATTCAAATATTGTTATAGAAGGTAAAGTAAAAACCCCAAAAGTCTGTGCATCAATACCGATATGTCGTAAAATACTGTATACCGCCCAGCGGTCTTGTCTCATGTCAGTGACCTCATCAGGCCAGCTGTCCATCATCTAACAGCCCGCACTGGCCTGGGTCTGGCTCTCTCTGGCAGGAATGGTGGCAGGGCATGAAAGGAAGACTGTGGACCTAAATGGCTCTGGTCTGCACTGTTACACCACCAGAGCAGCAGGCATCCCACCATCTTGGGCTCTGAAGGAGATATTTATAAGTCATTAGTGTAGCGGGTGGGGGGGGGGGTAAATCGGGAGGGCACGGGGTGGCCCTTTTATCTCCAGGATAGAGGGCCGCGGTGCTGACAGGCTGACTAGTGACAGAGAGAGTCAGTGCTGGCTGGGGGATTCCGTCTCTTCCTAAGTGCCTATCGCACCGTGGAGCCCTGAGGAGCACGGCACAGCTTAATGCAGGCCTGTAATTAAGAAGATGTGATCTGATTTCAGATTTCCGCTGAGCTCTTATCTGAGGAATTACAGGGCCCATCATGCAATACTCGAAAGCCTCTCAAGCATTGAAAACATCAGATATTTGCATGCATGTCACAATGTTCTACAATATTACAGCAATTTTGAAGATGAAAGAGATGTTGCCTTTGGAGGGGGTAGTGTGCTGATGGGGAAGCAGACACCCCACCATGACGTCTTAGAACCTGCCAGGGAACAACCTTTCTCCTCAGTGATGGTAAGCGGCAGCTTCCTCTCCATTGTTCAGGCAGGGTGGGCCAGGAAACCAGCAGGAGACTTCAGGAGAGGAGAAGGTCAGGAGGTAGGAGCAGAAACAAAAGGCCTGCAGCCAGGCAGCTGCCTCCATAGAGTTATGGCTTCCTCTGGATGACTATGTTGCTCTAGACGGGGAGGTGTGTGTACCTTCAGCCCTCCAACACAATAGTGGCCTTTCAGAACCTCAAGAACATGACCTATGGCAGCAGGACAAACATCTACATTGTCTTTAACCTAGACAGGGGGTGGACAACAAATCTAAACACAGGAATCTTGTCCTGAGTTCCATCTACACTCTGAATCCACAAAGCCATTCATATAGATTTGTATTAATCGTTAATCCTGTCCATATGAATGGCATTGTGGATACTAAGAATTTCATAGTATTCTTACTAATCTATGCCAGGCCAAGGAATAAACCTTCAGCTGATCCTTTAGAAGGATCCTCATTGATTATTCCTGGAATTTCACCGACTGTGTGTATCAGATCTTCTGTTTGAAATTCTAGCCTAAATATTCCAGTATTTTAGATTTGCACAGTAGGCCTATACGTCAATATACTTTAATATACACTGTAAGGGACAACTATTGGCTATGTGGCACAAGCTACTATCAGAATTCAGGACAGTGGCAGTTTGACAAGAATACATGTTCCCTGCAGCTCAAGTCATGTTCATGACTCCATGATGTCTCCAGGCCACGGAAATTAGGTCATTAAAAATTAACACTATACAGTGAAAGCTAGGGATTATATACACTGAGTATACCAAACATTAGGAACACCTTCCTTATATTGAGTTGCACGCACACCCTCTTTTTGTCCTCAGAACAGTCTCAATTCGTTGGGGCATGGACTCTACAAAGGTTCAAAAACGTTCCAAAAGGATGCTGGCCGATGTTGACTCCAATGCTTCCCACAATTGTGTCAAATTGGCAGGATGTCCTTTATGTGGTGGACCATTCTTGATACACACAGGAAACTGTTGCGCATGAAAAACCCAACACCTACTACCATACCCCGTTCAAAGGCACTTCAATATTTTGTCTTGCATGTTTGCCATGTTCTCAGAATATAAGATATATTAGATATCTAGACACGTTTCATGGGAAAGTTGCAATAACATTTGCGTCCAAAGAATTCATTACACATCACATATTTTTACTGTAGCCGAGCCAAACAAGGCCTTGATTGGTGAACCACTGATCCATTCATAGCTCTTTGACTGTTGGCAAGGTTAGGGATACTCACAAACAGTGCTTTTAACATAGTGTTTTCAACTTACAGTGCATTCAGAAAGTATTCATACCCCTTGACATTCCACATTTTGTTGTGTTACAGCCTGAATTCAAAATTGATTAAATATATATTTTTCTCACACATCTACACACAATACCCTATAATGACAAAGTAAAAACATGTTTTTAGAAATGTTTGCAAATGTATTGAAAATGAAATACAAAATATATAATTTACATATGTATTCACACCCCTTTGCTTTGACACTCAAAATTGAGCTCAGGTGCATTCCATTTTCTTTGGTCATCCTTGAGATGTCACTACAACTTGGCAGTCCACCTGTGGCCAATTCAATTATGTGGACATGATTTAGAAAGAAACACACCTGTATATAAGGTCCCACAGTTGACAGTGAATGTCAGAGCAGAAACTATACCATAAATTTCAAGGAACTGTCCCTAGATCTCCGAGATAGAATTGTGATTAGGCACATGTATCTGGGGAAGGGTATAAAACAATTTCTGGAGTGTTGAAAGTTTCCAAGAGCACAGTGGTCTCCATCATTGGGAAATTGAAAAAATATGGAACTACCCAGACTCTGCCTAGAGCAGGCCATCCGACTAAACTGAGCAACCAGGCAAGAAGGACCTTGGTCAGGGAGGTGACCAATAACCCAATGACCACTCTGACAGAACTACAGAGTTCCTTGGATGAAATGGAAGAACCTGCCAGAAGGACAACAGTCTCTACAGCATTTCACCAATCTGGGCTTTATGTGAGAGTGGCCAGACGGAAGCCTCTCCTGAGAAAAAGAAACATGACAACACGCCTGAAGTTTGCAAAAAGGCACTTGAAAGACTCAGAGCATAAGGCAAAATAGTCTGTGGCCTGATGAGACCAAAATGTTACTCTTTGGCATGAATGCAAAGCGCTATGTCTGGAGAAAACTAAGCACAGTTCATCACCCGACTAACACCATCCCTACCGTGAAGCATGGTGGTAGTGGCAGCATCATGCTATGGGGATGCTTTTCAGCGGCAGGAACTGGAAGACTGGTAAGGATAGAGGGAACAATGAAGTGAGCCAAATACATGCAAATCCTTGATGAGAACCTGCTTCAGAGTGCAAACTACCTTAGACTGGGGGGCGAAGATTTACGTTCCACTTTCTGTATAGTTGTCTAATGCAGGTGGGGCATATTAACCTGTACTTTTAACAGAGCTGATACAGTATTTACTTCAAAGTACATTCACCCTATTGCTCACACCTATCAAGTTGTTTCAGATCTACACAAGTGCTTAGGGAGGAGGGTTTAGGGTTTCTTCTGGACAGGGCCTAACTATACTGGCCCAATAACCACATGCCCTAGAGCAGGGCTCTCCAACCCTGTTCCTGGAGATCTACCCGCCTGTAGATTTTCACTCCAACCCCAGTTGTAACTAACCTGATTCAGCTTATCAACCAGCTAATTAGAATCAGGTGCACAATATTAGGGTTTGAGAGAAAACCTACAGGACCGTAGCTCTCCAGGAACAGGATTGGAGAGCCCTGCCCTAGAGATATCCCTTATTGGGACAGTGGTTAGGGCGTTTGCTGTTGGTGCTGGTGGCCTGGGTTCAAGATCCGCTAGAGTAGTCACGTTCTAAGCAATATGTTAATGTCACTATTGCTGTTTTGAATTGCATTTATCAGACATTTTGATTTTTTATATGGACATTTTGTTAGAATACTTGGAAATATTATTTATGTACCTTTGTTTATCATCATAATGTGTATACATTTCTCCTCGTTCACAAATTTCTGGAACTTTGGCTACTAGCTTTGTGCACGACCTTCAGATGCTTTTTCAGGTTTGATGTGGTGTTTCTGGACAAGGAGATCAATGCTGCCTTTGCAGAGTTTGCATTTGACTAAAATGGGAGCATTTCCACTAGGAAAAGTTTATGCGGGGTAATGTCACAGCTTCTATATTTCTTAGATTTTCGGCTTTACAATGGCCTATTGGAAACGATAGCCTACAGCATGAATTCCGTTAGCATGAGACAAGGCTTAAAAAATATATACAGTGCATTGGGAAAGTATTCAGACCCCTTGACTCTTTCCACATTTTGTTACGTTACAGCCTTATTCTAAAATGCATTACATTATTGTTTTGCCTCATCTACACACAATACCCCATAATGACAAAGTGAAAGTATTTTTGAATTTTTTTGCAAATGAAAAAACAACAACTTATTTACATAAGTATTCAGACCCTTTACTATGAGACTCGAAATTGAGCTCAGGTGCATCCTGTTTCCATTGATCATCCTTGTAGAAACATCTAAACTTGATTGGAGTCCACCTGTGGTAAATTCAATTGATTGGACATGATTTGGAAAGGCACACACACACCTGTCTATATAAACTCGACAGTTGACAGTGCACGTCAAAGCAAAAACCAAGCCATGAGGTTGAAGGAATTGTCCGTAGAGCTCCGAGACAGGATTGTGTCGAGGCACAGATCTGGGGAAGGGCACCAAAACATTTCTGCAGCATTAAGGTCCCCAAGATCACAGTGGCTTCCATCATTCTTAAATGGAAGAAGTTTGGAACCATCAAGACTCTTCCTAGAGCTGGCCGCCCAGCCAAACTGAGCAATCTGGGGAGAAGGGCCTTGGTCAGGGAGGTGACCAAGAACCCAATGGTCACTCTGACAGAGCTCCAGAGTTCCTCCGTGGAGATGGGAGAACCTTCCAGAAGGACAACCATCTCTGCAGCACTCCACTAATCAGGCCTTTATGGACATGCCGAGAGTTCGGATTGGTCTGCCATGTAGCACGCTTCTGTCTATAACATGAGCTGGTCAGTATGTGTTGATAATCCAGCCATGTATACGGGTAAGATATACCCTAACCACTGTCCCAATAACATATATCTCTAGGGCATGTGCTTATTGAGCCAGTATACTTAGGCCCTGTCCAAAAGAAGCCCTAACCCCACCTCCCTAGGCACTTTCATCTAAAACAACTTGATAGGTGTAAGCAATAGGGTGAATGCACTTTGAAGTAAATCTCAGCTCTGTTAAAAGTACACTCAAGAAAAAGTTGTATTGATCATAGTGATTCAGGAGTATTATTAAAATTGGTTAATATGCCCCACCAACATTAGACAACTATACAGAAAGCCCTTAAATTGTTTAAATTAGTGAATCAAATCAATGATGAGAGAATAGTCAAATGAACTGATACCTGACACAGACATGGTGGCGTAGCAGGAAGATCTGAATGGCGTGAACCAAGAGGTTGTGAGTTCAAATCCCAGGTGAGGACATGGTGAATAATAATTACTGTATAAATGAACATGCACAATGTAATCAGGTATGTAAAATATGTCAGTTGAAAACGCTATGTTAGAAGCACTGTGTTTTGGGGTGGGAGAATGTTTCTATCGACAACTGCTACACAGAAATGTTCT